GACACAAAATATAATTTAAAGGTGAAATGTGTGCATCTAGAATATCCCCATGATATTATGTTGATTGAAATTAATGGTTGTTTTTGAGACAGCAAATGTTTTGTGCAAAGGCCTGTTATGTGTTTTTGTTTAGTTTAGTTTAGTTTATTAGTTTATATGTAAGGGGCAAGTATATAGAAAGTCTAAAGTATGGGTACATAGCTGAAGCTAATATCCAACACCAGTCACTTGATGGGCATTGATAAATAAAGCAATTATTATATTTATATGTTACGGTTTAAAATCTTAAAATCTGTGCACACAATAATCAGAAACAAGAACAACAACCGTCCATGACAGCAGACAAACAAACAGACAAACAGAGATGCAAAACATCCAAAGCATGAACTCAAATATGTGAGCGATGCACCGGTTACTCACCGACTTTTGTGAATCAGGATGACACAGGAAGATATAAGTGAGTCATGATAGACTGAATAACAGAATGGGCCAGTTTTTGAACAATGAAACCATGGCTATTTCTGCATATATTATCACCTTCTTTGAATTGTATTAAAAAAGAATACTGATCAGCCTTTAATAACATCATAAACTAGTAATCGCTTAGATTTAGTTAGATCTAGTTTGTATTAAAAGACCTGTCTATATGGGAAAAACAAAGTTTAAACCCTGTGTTTTGTATTTTGGTTGCGCACCAAGCATTTTAATACATTCAGATTATGGATTTGATCTTTAATTGTGATCTGACTGTGATTTACAATGTTACTGTACTTTTGTATCTATTGTATATTGCTTTAAGATACACTGAGTTAATAGTTTGAAAAACAAAACAAAATTCTCTAACAGGCGGAGACCAAGCAGAGATCAAGGACATAAATAGTCAGACAAACTGGGTGATTGATTGATGGATAAAAAGCCTGCCAGACAGACTGACAAGCTCGCTGACTCAGTGTCTGAGAATGAAAGTCAGGGGCTGAAATGAGTGAGCGAGGGAGGAGAGACATAGAGAAAAAGAGAGAGAGAGAGCGTAATGAAACATTTAGAAAACATAAAGTGGAAAATGAATCTGTTAACTCACCTCTGATAACTGGTTCAGTGCCAGACCACACACATGGATGAGCAGATATGGATGAATACACATATACACATGAACACATGTAACATACACACACATACACACACACACACACACACACACACACACACACTGCATACCTGGCTGGGTGGGCTTGGTTGCTCGAGGCGATAGTTGTAGTTGTAACTCTTCTCCGTGGCAACAACAACAACGCTCAGGTGACAATCAAAAGTCTGATACAGCATGAGCAGTTATACGAGCTAATAATAATGAACACACAGTCCGTTTGTATTGCTGTATATATCAGTTATGTATGGGTGAAAATGTAACATGGGTGAACTGAAATTCATTACGTAAAATCTATAAAACACATAATATCCCTGTCAAAATGTGCTTTAAATATTGTTTTGTGAATCACTCACAGATGCTGGATATTCCATTTTACAGCAAATGCTTCTACAGCTAAATTAACTCATCAACATCTAGGTGGATACAGATGGCTTTGTTAGTTTTAACCTATAATTTCTAACTATTATGTTCTTCCTAACTTGTAATTGGGAGTATATGAGTCATGATTTAATTGGCGAGGAGAAGGAAAATGTTATAAAGAGATAGCACGTATTATTTCCCCACTTTTACAGTAATGCAACCACATGATCACTGTAAGGTCAAACCCCTGAGACATTAGGGGAGTTAGCACTTAGTAAGTACCTTTTAATTTTCATAATAGGCCTATTTCTGAGAAAATAGGCATAATTGGCATCCAGTGCAATCAATAGACGGTCACACTTTTCAAGACATTGTTCATATATTTACTGTTTAACATTCCCTCAGTTTACTGTAACAAATTAAATTGAATATGATCTTTTAGAAAAGCATTCACTGTGTAAGTTATATGTTACATGTTGAAACAGCAAGCAAACTTCATCAACATCAGCAGCTTGTGTGTTTTTTCTGACACACACACATTTTCTGTTAGTGCTTGTTTGTACCTGCAGAGGGCAGTGCAGGTCTAGAATTAGAAAGCGTCAGCCAGGCGATGTTTTCTGTCTCTGTGTGTCAGTGGTAAACTATTAGAGACTCCATTAGCACAATTTAACACAATATACTGTATGCTAAACCAGTGGTTCTCAACCTTTTAGAGACACATGAAAGCCACTAAACTCACACAATAAGACCACTGCCCACCATTGCTTTTAGATTTATTGAAATAACAGTACCTTCACACCTGCTTTAGTCCTAAAAGCACAATAATTGATAGAAATACATTCTCATATTACTGCTGAAGTGGGCCTGTTAACAAGTATAAAAATAGAGTAAATAGCCTACGGTATACTGTGTTTTTAGGTCTTGTCCCCTGTGTTGAATGTCATTGAAGGGATGATAGCACATTCCACGCTGCTTGCCACAATATGTTATTTTATTTTATTCTCCACAACCATTTGGTGACCCCCAGAAATGATCTTGTGACCCTCTTGACTGAAGTCAAGACTTTTCTGTCTGTTTTGAATTTGTTCTTATACTTCTTTGACATAACTTAACCTTAATCTTACTGAACTATATTTTATGATTATTCTGACATAGTTTCTCCAATTCCTTTATGTGTTTTACAGTCCAGTTTTATAATTTACAGTAGTGTCCATGCACTAAACAGTATAGAGCTGGGAAGTTTGTTGTTTGTTCATAGCAGACTGTGACACAATCCGAAAACGCAGACACAGTTACATTCATATCACACTGAACCAGAAAGACATTTATTGTAGATTTATTGCACTCTTATCCAGTCTCTTTTTTTCAGTCTTACAGTTTGAAGGTACAGCAGCTAAACTTCCCACTCAACAACAACTTAGCACATTAGTGCTTCCAAACATTAATTACTGATGTGGGCTGTAAAGCGACTGCATGTTCATTAAGAGCACAAAGTTGTTTTTTAAAAAGGTGCTGTGTATTCTCATTGGAGCAAAGCAGCACAGAGGCTTATCCATTATGTATCTATATGCAGTCCATAAAAAAACAGAAGTACAAGCTGCACAATGCGATGGCACTGGGAAAGAAGTGAGTCAAGGTTGAAAAGACATCCAATATAAACTAATCACCAGGTGCAGCAGCCCTTTGCTGGAAAAACAACACTGGTATACATCCCTGGATAAAATATTTGACTTCTAAATCTCCTAGAAGGCCTCTCTTCCCCTGTACCTCCACCCAAATGTAATCAGCAGAGCAGAAATGTTCCCAGACTGAGGGCAAGTTCACAACAGGATTATTCTGTCCAAACACCAGCCAACAGGAGTTTCAGTTAAACAAACATTTCTCAGAGCTGCTCTGGAAGCAGAAACAAATCCGTGGTTTGAGTTCTGTGCAAGAAGCACAGTTTGTCTGGACAAGTAACATCAGACTGCTGCCAAGTTAAAAGACAAAAGGTAAAGACAGGTGGAAGTAAGGGTGTAATATTTAATTCAAGACATGGAGGGAATTGTGCACAACACTACAATTATAGTCTTGTGAGTGCTTAGACACTGCACAGAAAACTCCATCCTGACCTGAACTGTGTGTAAAGAAAGAGACATTGTGCTTCAGCTGAGTTGAGAGCTTTATGAGCTGCATCATCTCTGACACTGACTGTGTACTGTTGGCTTTTATATGTCAGCATCATGTTATATAAAATATCTATATTGTATCTGTTTGTTCCTTGGTGGCTTCAGATCGAAAAGATGAGGTTCTCTCTCCGGATGTTCCGGGGTCTTGGTGTAATAGGTAATTAATCTTTTGTCACCTTTCTAATGAAGCCTGGAGGGGTATAATCTCTGCTGTGTGGGTCTGTTCATGTCTGGGCTTTTTTTCCTCTTTGTCAGAAGGTGCTGGAGACACTGAAGAATTCCTTCACATCACCTACAGTTTCTCTGCTCAAGACTGGACTGGACTGGACATTTTATTTTGAACCCAACTCACTCGTCAGTTTGCAGGTGAAATTTAGTTTTTTGATTGATATCATGTTAGTCTGCACCTTCTGAATTTTAGAATGAAAGAACAAAGATTAAGGTAATCAAAAAGTCTCTAAACCTTCCTTTGCACAGCTCTAAACATCCAAAATTTGCTTTGCTACACAGTCACTGACCTACAAAGATGTTTCACCTGTTTTACTGATGATTAAAATGCTTGATGCAACATGTTCTTTGTTAGAGATTTAAATCGTGTTATACTTAGTTTGCAATTTAGAAAATATTAATAGGAGCAGTCCATCTGCAGCAGCCTATATTTTGAGGTCTCACCCAAGATGCTGAAACTTCCAGTATAAGGTATTTTTCATGAAAAACTGAATAATCCGTCTCAATGAATTATTGAAGTTTTTTTTATGTTAAATTAAGTGTTTTTTGCATGTTCTGTATGTAGTGTTCAATGTAATGTTTGTGCACAACATACAGTGCAGTGGAGTTTGTGGCCTATTGTAATTGCAAGTATATCAAATGTACTTACATGTTCCAGATTGGCTGTGTTTAATGTTTTCCTGCTGGATTTACAGGAAGAAAAGAAGATGATGTCCTCTTCCTGTGAGTGTTGTGTATGAGCACACAAGGTCAAAAAGGGGGGTTAGTCCAGCATTATATAACTTGAAATTAAGTCATAAAACCACACAAAAGTGACGTTTTTATGCAACATTTCTGCTAGTGTCACACATTGGAAGCAAGCGATAAGATAAGAAATTAGTGCATCTTTTTTTTATCTAAACTTTCTCCTAGAAGTTTGGCAGAACTGTCCAGAAATAGATGTAACAGAATTTTAAGTGAAGAAAGTATCTTTCAAAGCAAAATATGTCAGTGAACATGTTTGTGTTCCTGTTTTACATTCCAGGAAACAGGATATGGGAGTATTCTCAGACTCCCACTGGTTGTATTGCACCATATCTACTTGATTTATGTTCCTTTCTTTCCAGTGAAGCCTTTAAAACACGGTTGCTGGTTCTGGTTTAGTTAAACCGGCATCATGGTGTCAAAGAGAGACATTCTGGTGGCTGTTTTTGTTTTTGCCCTCGTCTCACAGAGTGAGTTTATGCTGGCATGGTTTCTTCAATGATTCATACAGTATTTTAGATTTGGCTTCTTAGTCATTTATGTCCATTGTTTTAGATTCTCATTGTTTTCACTGTATTATTGCGTTACCACTGTATTGTTCTGCAAATCTATACTGGTAGTGTTCTAAAAACCTTACCTTGTGCTTATATTTGCTTATTATTCTATCTTTTAACACTGCTGATTGTACTTTCTGATAAGTTTCTGGGATATTAAATGCTAAAATGCTCCATTATTATGTACATACTTTTGCAGTAACATTATAAATATGTAGTTGAATGTGACTACTCTTTGTATGTTACTGTATGCACTCAGAAATGTTGAAATTGTTTATGTGTGTTGTGATTATTTCAGGTGAGGGTATAATTGGTGGCAGAGAGGCAGTGCCACACTCTCGGCCGTACATGGCCTCCATCCAGGTGCCAGAAGGAGAGAATATGAAACATGAGTGTGGAGGGTTTGTGATTGCAGATCAGTGGGTGATGACTGCAGTACACTGTCTGCCAACAGGGTGAGGATACTTTCTTCTAACCATGATGAATGTAGTTTTTTATGATTAATAAATACTATATCATATATTTGGTCCCAGAGAACAGCAAAAGTTTTACTTATATATTTGCTTTAACTGTGATTGCTCAGATTTTGCTTGTGTTTTTAAAAAAAATATTATTATCATATTTAGTTGTTATTTGTTCCTGAATGATTTTGTTCATTAGTTTTATCTTTATATATTTTTAATTTTAAATGCATGTCTCGTTTTTATGATCATAATGTGTATTTAATAGGAAAGGGAAATGTGTGTTATACAGTATTTTTTGCAGGTTATTCAGCACTACAATGTTATTGTGATTTGTTTCACAGGCCAAATGGAAGGAGAGTAGTGCTGGGTCTCCATTCTCTGACTGAACCTGAAGAGACAAAGCAGACATTTGATATTTTGGAACTTTACAATCACCCACAATTCAGCACGACAAATTATAATAATGACATTGCTTTAATTAAGGTAAGTCTAGATTTTCTGCCAGTTCTTAATGGTTCAGTATTCTGAAACGTGAAGTGATTTGGTCTCCTGTTTTGGGGAACAAGCCGATGACAGAACTCTAAGTTTTGAGATCTGTGTGATTTTTGCAGTTGGATCGTCCATTTAACGCCTCTGACGCTGTTAGAGCACTGGAATTCATGAGATCAGGTGGCACAAACCCTGACACAGGTGCAGAGGTTGAAACAGCCGGCTGGGGATCCACTGATAACCTAGGGTCCAGACCAGACAAGCTCAAGGAGGTGGTCATGGATGTGTTCAGCTGGAAACGGTGCAGGCGCAGCGACTACTTTGGCTCAAAGCTCACCAATAACATGATGTGTGCACATAAAATATGCCCAGAACCCTGTGATCAACCACACAAGAAGGAAGACAGTTGTGATGTAAGTTTTACTTCTCTTCTACTAAATACAAATGCTAAAACCATTTTGTTGTTAACAAAGACAACAGTAAGTTAGAATGAGCCAATGCATTATGTTAAACCAATGTATAGGCTATAATACACCATCTATGAATGCTGGCATGACACTACTGATTTCTGATCAACATTACAAGTAATAGGTGGAAACAAAAAGAAAAGTATAGCCTACAAATGGGGGTTTCTTCTTTGTTTTGTGATAAAAAAAAATGTTCAGGGACTTTATTTGGCCAGGCTCACAGTCCCACAGAAGTAACAGAGCAACACACGCTTGTGCAAAGAAAGCTGGACTTGCCAGTTGCCAGTCTTATGCTTCAAAGCAGTGCTGTGCGTAAGTCTCACAGAGCTGGTGTCATGGCTGACTCTTTTTCTGTGATATCTAGGTGTGTACAGTTGTTTTTTTTTTGTACCTTTTCCCCATTCAGTGCTGCCAACTGGAGCCACCTGAGAAATGGGTTTAATTTCTGTCATTTCCTGTTTAAAACCTGCTCTTCTTTTTGTTGTCTTACAGGGTGATTCTGGAGGTCCTCTGCTCTACAATGGCATTGCAGTGGGAATCACTTCCAACGGAGGAATGAAGTGTGGTCAAATGAAAAAGCCTGGAATTTACACTGTCATCTCCCACTACACCGAGTGGATTGACAACACCATGGCTGTGCAGCCTCCTACACAGGACCCGAGCAGTTAAATAAACGAAAGCCAGCATTGTAATTCTTAGCAGCAGCCCTTTTTTCGCCTGCTTATATTGAGTCACTCATTATTCTACCTGAATATGAATGTAATATGTTTATATGTGTATATAAGTGTTCCTTTCTCATCTCAAACTAATGCATGGCTCTATAGAACCCCAGGATGGTGAATATACTATATCCACCTATGCAAACACATTAGCCAGAATTGTATATCACACCTTTTTTTTATTCTTTCTTTTTTTATCAAATCACTTTATAGAAGAATCAATAAAATACAGTTGATCACATACAAATGTCATGTCTGGAGTTACTTTGTATTTTGAAAAATACGTTTCAGACGCAGTACAATCACAGAGAGAGACATGCAGAAAAAAACATAAACTCAAAAGGTTACTTAAACCTAATACAAGACTGGTAGGAGTACAGAGATGAAGACTTATGCAGCAGACAAACTGCAAATAACAAAAACCATCATTAAATTACAAGACATTATATCATAATAAGTCATAGACTGAACAGAAACCATTTAAGAGTTACACAATAACTGCTATAATGAAACAACTTTCGCATCAGTCTTGCTGTTTTTATTCAACTGTATCAGATGCTTGGCAACTGAGTACATCTGATGGATGGTGTTTAAGGATGTAACTGTTAGGCAATCAAGATATCAACAAGCACATCTCCTAAACTTGTCAGACAAGCCCTGGCAACAGCGTCCAACAGTAAATAAAATCTGCAGCTGTACTTCTTCTTTTCCTCCCCTCTGTGCTCAACCCAGATAAACATAGACATTAATAATTCTTGATGTGTTCTGCTCCTCTGTTTAGTTTGGAAAATCCCCACCACCTATTTGTTTTATTCACAATGCAACATTTTTAAAATCATTTCTGAATTGCTGACCAACTTTGAGTGGCTGCGTTGGTTCGATAAATATTATTTTTCTAAAAAGAGAATGTATTATGTAATTTGCCAATAATTCTTTTAAGTTGCAATTGTTTGAGATTTTGTAAAATGTACCCATACAGAGTGACACCAGTGGTCATTTTCTACAAGAAACCATGATGATAAAAGCAATACATTTGCAGTGTATTCAGTACTTGAATATACTGGTATTTAGCAAAAAAGAATTGCACTGGAATTGAATACACTGTGAGTATAGAAATCAAGCATCTCTCAATAAATAGTTATCTTCCAAACCCCCCTCCTTCCTCTCCTCAATCATTTTCTTCCTCTCCTGCAGCTCATGCTCAGAAAATCTCTTCACTGAGTGGGAATGTCCCCCATGTGAAGCTACCAGTTTGTTGATTCCTAAGAGCAGGTCTTTTACCTGAGGATAGCTCAAAGCACTCTTTGTAACATTCAGCTCATAAAAACGGCTTCCACACTTCTGAATGAGACCCTGGAGGGTTGCATGGGCTCCGGCCACGTAGTCGTTGATCCTCTGAGGCCTGTGCTGGTTGCCATCAAAGCGAACGAAGAGGACGATGGCGTGCTCTGCGAAGTCTCGTCCGAAGATCTTCTGCAGAAGGCCGAGCATCTCGCACTCGCCCTGGGTGAAGCGGCCCATTTGGAGCACCAGCAGGAAGACGTGGGGTCCAGGTAGGGACAAAGCCAAGCAGTCCTTGACCAGCTCCAGATTTTCCACCCCATCCTCATCCCACAGCTCGGGGGTGTCCACCAGGATGAGTCGTCTCCCTGCTGCAAACACCTCTTTTCTCTCACAAGACAAGGTGGGCTGAGGGTTCTCATCACTACACTCATTAACTGAGTATTGATTACCTGCTCTCTCTAGAATGAGATTTAGAGCAGAGGACTTCCCACTGCCAGAGAGACCCAGCAGGATGACTGACATCTTCTTCGAGTCATCGTCTTAAAGCCAAAAAAGAAAAGGAAACTAGCTGTTAGAAAGCATTTTCAGACGGATTAGAACATGAAGTTGAAATTGTAGAAAATAAGAATACCCACTGACTTGTAAACCCATATCTGGCTCATATCTCTGATCCATTTGTATTGTATTCATTACTCTTAATGGGTCATTCACCATACTGGGCTTAAATGTTTTTGGGCCGTTTTGTATTAAAAGTGCCGAAATGAATATTAGATACTGTATACTTTAGATGATGAGTGATAAGTGCCCATATCATTGTGTAACTGTGCTGCCCCCTAGTGGAAGTAGTTGTTGCACCAAAATGTCTGAAAATGAACTTTGTGAGACATTTTCTCAAAGTGGGCAAATAAATTTTTTTTCCAATATGTGTCCCACATTAAATAATAACGTATCTATAAAATCACACATTAATGTTGACCACTATATTGCATAACATATTTGTACAGATGTGAATATTTGGAGTACAGGAAAGAGATTTTTCTTTATCTTTACTAATTCTTATTCTTATTTACTCTGGAAGCAGCTGAAAAATAGTAATAGTGGTAAACAGGAATAATAGTCTTACCCTCAGTGGCACTCATCTGGAGCTGCAACATGGCTCTGTGGCTCAGCACAGCCTCCTCCAGGCTCTCTCTTTTTGTCTCATATTGCTCTTTTTCAGCTGCCTCCTTCTTTCGTTCCTCAGCGTGTTTCACCTTCAGCTCCTCCATCTCTTTAGCTCTCCTTCCCTCCCGTTGTATAACCAGCTGCTTGAAGGCCTGCTCCTTCTCCTCAGCCTCTTGCACCTTCAGTCTGAGCATCTTCATGGCTGAGTCTTCTGTGCTCCTTTTCTTAGCTTCAGTCAGCATGGTTTCTGTGTAGCCAGACACACCGTTTTCTACCAGCATGTAGTCGACCATCTCGAGGAGAGCGAGCAGTTTGTCTCTGGCTTCTGATGTGGTGATTCGGCAGTATCTTCCATCGCACATGTTTATCAGCTCCAGAAGGGCATCGTCCAACGTGTCAGCAACCTTTCCATCTTCCAAAGAGAGCACTAGCAGGTATCTTAAAGCCTCAGATCCAAAGTGTGCCTGCAGTATCTCTATCATTCTTCTTTCCGTCTTTGTGTAATGTCCACCTTGGATCAACAGCAAAAATGTACTGATTCCATCAGAGCAAGATTTAAAGCAGCCATCTATTGCCTGGATCATGCCCTCCTCTGCCATGTCTTGTTTTAAATCTGCATAGTGCAAGCTGATCATGTGACTATCCAGTGTCAAGTCACAGACTTGATTTGATCCCAGAGAACTAAAGTTTAACTGGAGATGTTTATCCCCAGAGCAATCCTGCAGCAGAGACTTCAGACAGGACCATTCCTCCACTGTGGATATGACCACCATCATCTGCCTCGTGGTAGTTATACCGTCTGCCAAACAACACAGTAATGACTTGTCACTGACTTGTAATCATTTTAAGTCCACACACCAGGTAATAATTATGATTATTGTGTTTTTTTTAACAGTAACTGTTACAATTTGCTTAATAAACTAAATATAACCCAATTGCATCTGCTACTTTTCAGGCCTTGCAATGGCAAACATTGCCCTTGTATTACAAATTACCTCCACATTAATTAGTCATCCATAGCATTGAATATGTAGGAAAACACACATTTTAGAAGAGAATCACTTACTGTGCGACATGTCTTTTGCAGGTGCTCTCAAAGGTCTGTGATCCTTGTCAGCTCAAGTAAATATCTGAAACTGGATACTCTGGCTCTGAAACAAGCATGATGAGCGGGGGAAACAATAAGATGCTTCCTGATAACAACATTTCACGTGTGACAAGTTTTGTTGTCAAGGAAGTGCATTCCACAACCCATCCTCCAATGACGGAGCTACTAGTCTGATAAATGCACCTTTCTCATGCTTCACGTCATGCTTGAGTTCTACGAAAGAACTCTCTTCCTTCCCCCACAAGGAGTTCTTTAGTCCCAAATAAGAAGTAGTTCTTCTTACTAATACCTTTGTGCACTTTAAACATTTAAACATCCACGCCAAAGTGTGAAACACCCTCTTTTCTCCTTGTCACACACACTCATATAAAGTTGTTTTCTTCATTCTCTGGAGACTTATCCTAACATACACCAGCCACTATTGACTCCTCCCAAGCCTAAGTCTCACCTTAACCAGAAACCAAATTCACTTTAATGGTTTACTTTTCAGGCACCAGCTTTTCCTTTGACTGGGCGAGCAGATTTCTGTCAATAATGTGAGCATATTTTAAATAAAATACATTTCATATTTGAATTTAACATTTGTAGGGCTGCACGCTATGGTAAAACCATCATATTGCGATTGCTATATGATTCACAATTAATGTGGGAATGATTATGTTTCTGCATCACAAATTAATTTCCATTGAAAAAACTATTAAAATGATGATAATGTGAAATGTGTGAGGTCTGTACCAAACAAATATGTTCTCTTACATATGGAGAACAAGATTTGAAGGCCAGTGCATCTGGGCCATATTCAGATTTTGATAATGTTTTGATTATTTGTGCAGCACTAGACATTTTAAACTGAACCATTGTGGGAAATACCTTTAATCAGTTGCCCTGCAGTTTCCTTTTCCTACCTGACTCTGTCAAGTTGCAGCTCTCTGCACAATAAAGCCAATCTGAGGGACATCCTGTGATTGTTTCTTGTTTGTATCATTGCTGAATCAGCATCACTGCAGACATTCAACCGGAACAGAAGTAGTATATCTTAGTGCCATGACATGCAAGACAATAAAAACATGCTTGTTAACATAGAAAATCAGCTTTAAACTAGCAAAAAAAAATTCAAAAAAAGAACAAAAAACTGAATTGTTGAATTGAACGAGCTCACGGAAAGTGAAAATATGTTGACAACATACATCACATGAAATCATCAATGATAGCCAATGCATGTATTGTGTGTATACAGTATATGACGGGGTTCCCCTACATACACAACAGCTGAGATTACTGAGGGATTGCACCATCCCCCTGTGCTGCTGCGCGCTGCTCCCTGTCGCTGTCAAAACGGCCCAAAACAAGGAAGTACTACAACGTAAAATGGGGGAAACCGTATGGCAAATTGGGATGAATTGCTTTTCGTTAATCGCTGAATTTGGCCAGTAGCAATAGTGGTATATGTATGGCAATTAATAATAATAATAATAATAACGATTAGTGCGTTATACTGTCACTATTTCCACAAAATATCATAACGATATTCCGGAACCCCCCTAAATATGAAATGGTTCGCTCCGTTGCTATGCTATCTTGTGTAGACATTCTCCAGGGTGATGGAGAAGATGTAGTTATTCGGCCTCGAAATACGTAACGTTGTTCGGTTTAAAACATAAATTGTGTGAACCGTGAGAGCACTTACAATGGCCGGCATAAGGAGAGTTAACGGGAAATTGTCGGGAATCAACCCAGCTGTCAGGTAATGTTAATATCGAATTCTGTTTACAGATAAACGCTTCAGTTAAGCGGTCGAGCTAATGTGGCTAACGTTAGCCACCGTCCGTTATTTCGTCGACACCAGTTACCGTTAATTAACGTTAATGCTAACGTTACCGAGCTATCGAAACAGCTATACTTTACGCTGCCAATGTTTAATTTAGCTGGTTAAGCAACATGTTAATTTAGTTTAGCTTATAACACCAGTTCCAAGAAATTCCCCGCACCTCAGTCAAGTATTTTTTTTTTTTTTTTGTGGTTGCCAAAGCCTAAAGCTAACGTTAACGACGTAATGCTTAATGTTGTGTAGGATGAAAGCAACGTTAGCTACTGCATTTCCAAAAACAAGAAAACAAACCAAAAATAATAATAATGCTAAGTTGATTATGTAGCGCATGCATCCTTAAGTATTTATAGATGTGTTCATAAATGTACAGATATGTCATAATTATAGGATTGTATGAGAAAGACTGAAATCTGTGGCAGTTGTAAGCTGTTGAGTGTTAATATATGGGATCATGAGCTTAGTTGTTATACTTTTCTCATATCTTTAAAAATGTGTTTCTAATAGATTCACTCACTGGTAAATTTCCCCTGAAATTTGACCATAAAAAATCTAAATTAAAGGTCCAACATCCAATCCAATCCAACTTTATTTGTTAAGCACTTTAAAACAACCAAAGTGCTGTACAGGAGAATAAATAAGACATCATAAATAAAAGACATAACAGCTCACATGAGGCGCAAAATAACATATAATACAACAATAAAATGAAAAGACATAAAACATGAGTAAAAATAATAACCATGCAATAAAAAGCAATCAAAAAGTAAAAATAACAAATACAAAAAATAAATCAAGTAAATAAAGTCGACATCTTACTAGGTGTCAAAGGCCACAGAGAAGAGATGGGTTTTAAAGAAAACAGACAGAGAAGAGGCCTGTTTAATGTGCAGAGGCAGATTGAACATGGTTGGTTGTTATCAAACGTTTTTTTCTTTATTAAACTGCTGTTTTCAAGGTTAGGAATGAAACTTTTAGCTCAACACTCACCTGAAATTAAGTTTAATAACTAACACAAACTATGCCTGTATATTTTTTATTACATTTTCCAGCTGCTGTCGCCTGCGTCAGGTCCAGTCTCTGCTATGTGAGGGTGGCACTGCCACTCCTGATGGCATCCTGTGCTCTCTTGGTATGTTAAGTTGCAGTGTTTATTATCTTTAACCTCTATGTGTTTATATGGCCTGGCTAACTGCACTGCCAACTGCTAAGGCCAGAGGAGGGTTGGTTTCCAGAACAGATGGCGACTCAATCAATTGTTGTGGTTATTCAAAATCAGAATATTAATGGCATTTTGTGTATATTTTAGGAATCGACAGCAGATATAATGAGGGGTGCACTGAACTGGCGAAATACCTGTTCTATGGACTATATGGAAGGAACCAGCTGAATCTGGATAATGTCCTTGATGAATTTCCTGAAGAAATGCTAGATGGTGAGTTGTGTTTTTTTTTTTTTACTATAATCAAAAATGTATGTGCCTGCTTTATTTTTTATCTACTCTGACACATTACTTGTCTGCTTTCCAGATGTAATCCTGCTGATCAAGTCAGAGTGTGTTCATCTGTACTGCAACCCCATGAACTACAGTTACCTGTTGCCCTACGTGTCTCACTGGAGGAACCTGCATCTCTACTGCATGACGGAGGCAGAGGTTAAAAGGCCCTCTTCCTCCATTACAGGCTTATCATTCCTGTTAATTACAGTTCCCTAATCTTATCAAGAGTATTTAGACATGTTGAATATCCAACTGGTTGCCATTTTTATTGCAACTTAACTGTAACACCTTATCCACACTGGCTGCACTGTGAAAGCGGCACATTCATTTTCATCAATGACCCAGTGTGTTGTAGTTTTTGTCAGTGTACCTGTAAGTTGTGCACAGGTGGCCTGGCATCTTGAGAGCTGTTAGTTGTCTCACATTGCTTAAAAAAAACTCATGTCAAAGTAATGTTTGCCAGACCTTTCATTGCTGAAAATGATAAATATGACCCTTTGTAGCTGTGTTTTTATTTGTGCTTGTTATTCCTGAAATTACGTGGTTTTCTATGTTGTCTAACCTTGTAATTTTCCCACCTCCACACCCAGTATGAAGATGAGGAAGCAGCAGAGGAGTTCAAAATCTCCAGTTTTGTCACAATGGTGCAGGACTGCTATCGTATCGGAGTACCTTACAGCTCCCAGGGTACATGTTATCACATGTTAATCTCCACATTCATTCACAACAAATTGTAAAGAGATAGTGAAGTGTTCACACACAAACATGGCATTACATCGCAGCAAGTTGGAATACAGTCTTTCACTAGTTTAACCTACTTGACAGTGTGTATAATTGTCTCTATAATTACACCAACAACACAAGTAATTATACTTGCTCTTCTGTTACTTCTAGGTCACATCCAGAGGTTTGATATGTTTATGGTGGAAAAATGGCCCCTAATTCAAGCGTTTGCCCTGGAAGGCATCGGTGGAGGAAGCTTTTTTACCATGAAATACAAGGTACCTTCAAACCACAAAGAAATACTTATTTGTTAAGCTGAAATGTGTGACAAAAGCATTTGTAGCATTACATTGTTCTTGGATCCTAGAATTCCTGTTTCAGCCTGTTTCATTTATACCTGCTTTTCCAGCTAATGGACATGAGTGAGAAGCTGTGGCAGGTTTACAACAGACTCGACCCAGTGTCCCTGGATAATGTCCTCACAGAGGTAACACTGTTCTAACTTTAAAGATTCTGTTGCATTTAATGACAACCTGAGACATCTGAACCGTCTTCTAAAATGTCAATGTACAGAAAATACATTCTAGATTCTAGCTCAATAATTAGGTTAAACATTAATTGTTTAAAGGTTATTATGTAACTTTGTCCTGACATTCCTATTTTTTGGCTGATCAAAAGTCATATTTAGAAAGTGTGAACATGACCATTCAATATGAAATGTATTGTAATTTTGTTGTATTTTAGGACTTGGTTAACTTTGAGAAGCAGTGGAGTGGCTTTTTCTCCAGCATGGACCTGGAGAGCCATCTCTCCATCTTGGAGCTATCTGAAGCACAAGCAGGAGAGGTACATTTACTGGCACATATTCATAGAAACAATAGAACAATCTGTCGTCAATAATTAATAGTCTTTCAACAGAATCTTATTGTAATATAGTAAGTAATCATTATGATTCAGCATCAATGCACCCTCATTGGAGGGTATTATAATCCATAATCTACTCTTCCTGCAAACTGAAGTCATTGTCTGCTTTAATGACTACATGTGCATTTGTTGTACACGTTACGTAGTTTTAAAAAGAGTATTTTCTGGCACTTTTGTTGTTTGTTGTTAAGTTTACTTGTGCCGTCATAAATTGTATTGTCATCAATCCACAGGCATTCCGTTGTTACTACTGTCATGGATTGATCTCAAGCAACATCACAGATAAAAGGTATTCTTTATATTCAACAGTGTCTAAATACTGAATCTTTTGTCATCTGTAATCTTTGTAGAACTAAAGATACTATTGTTTAATCAAATGTTTCTTTATTTCAGCAAAAGTCAGCAGCCCTTTGTGTTGTTTGGGAAGCATTCCTCCTTAGAGGATTTGGAGAGTTATTCGTTCAACTTTCCCTCAGAGAGTCATCAGGTCCGCAACACAGGGCCTCGAGGTTCTACAGCCAGACACATGGTGAGAAGTCTGAACTAAAAAACAGTATGATATGTAAACTACATTACTATAGGATCCCTTTTAATGGCTGGATACCTGCCGAAGTGGTTAGTAGAGGACATGCCACTGTGAAAACTCTCCAGCATTTCAAATGACACTTAATCTTTCATTAATCACATTTTTCAAGTTAAAGAGGAAACTGGCCTGCAGCAACACCTGCTGAAGTAAATTCGGTACAACCAGTGGTCATTGTTGTGCAGAACAGTGTTTTGACAAATCATCTTGAACATCTCGTGCCAGGAAATATGTAATTGCTGATCCTATGTCTCCTGTAAATAGTATTTTATTTGTGTAATTTGTGAAGTGGGGAACATGCCACAATTTCATCTTTCAAATGAAACCCTTTTTTTGTCCATTAGATTCTGCAGTGTGTGGCTCCTAAAGGACCTCTTGCCTGCTCTCGAACCTATTTCTTTGGGACCACCCACACTCCATACCTTGGTGAGGTTTTGCTGTATGACTTTTCTTTTTTAATATTGATCTGCTGTACCTTGTTGTCCTTAGCATCACATTTCAGGGGTTACCCTGCTACAGAGCATAGTTTATTTACCTAGGTGTTAAAGTACTATGTACTATGATACCCTCAGAAATGCTAGTGAAATGTTGCTTTGTGTGGAGGCGAATGCAGGGCCAAGAAAGGGATTATCTGGCCTGGGGTTAAGTGTAATATTAGAAGTACGTATTTTTATCGGTATGAAATATATTGGTTTACACTTTTTCACCCACAGGAAATCAAAACACAGAGCAAGAGAAAACCGAAGTCTTGTAAGTAATTTAGTTTTGGATCTCATAATTAATATTTTCCCTGTAAGGTTGGGCATTGTTGAATGTTAAGGAATGTCTCAATTAATTACTTCTTATTTTTTTCAGAGTTCTGTCACAAATGTACTCAGCTGCTGTTCAAGGAGTCCTTTCAGGAATTAAATGCTACTCCCATACCACCAGCGCTACCAAGGTAAGAAAAAAAAAAGCACCTATTTAATTTTCAGCATTTACTATAGCATGTACAGCTGCTCATAAAGAAATGTTTATTATTATAGGCTAAGGATGTAGCAGAGAACACCTTTCTAGTGGCTTTGGACTCCATGAATTTAAGTCAGTACCGCAGTTCTCTCAGGTAAAGATTCATTTTATTTTTTTCACTGTTGTCCACTGTATGAGACTTTGAAAGCATGAAATGAAATGTATTGTTTGTCACTTTGAGTCTTTGTTTTATTTCCTTAGGTCCAAATGTGAGTTCACTATTCAAGCAGTGAATAAGCAAGGAAGGTACGTGTTAACTAGTCCTCATTAGTCTTTTGCAAGCATTTATGTTTTCTGACATAGCTCCATGAAATGTTCATTGTGTTTTAAAAAAAATACACAATCAATTGATGCTTTCTTAAAAACCTTTTTGTAAATATGTGATCTTAGACTTAAAGTCTGTTTTTTGTATTTCCAGGATCATTCCTCTGAGTGATGAAGAAAGCCGTTATGTTGTGAAAACAGTACGTTAGAGCAAAAGGATAACAATGTAATGACTTGTGTACACAATTTTGAAAGGATTAAAGACTAATGCTACTTTTTTCTTAGGCTTCCATGACTGTCCATGACATCCCAGACCTGCAGTGTGATGGTGGGGACCTGGGGTCTGTTGTCTTCTCTGAATCCTTCTTGGAGTCCAGCATCAACATTCAACAGAAAGGTACAATATTGATTAGATTAATCCTAATTAGAATGGAGTGCTTATTGATTCCACAAAGGAAATTTGATTTACATAATAAGCAGGTCAAATCCACAGGTCACTGTTAACAGAAAAAGGAAAGTAATTTCAGTTGCAACAGAGCACTTGTCTAAAAATAGCCTATTTTCTGCCTTAAGACGAAGATATTTGTGATTCATCTTTCATGATTAGTTGTTTATGATTCTTTTAAAAAAGTGTGTTTCCTCTCCTGCAGATGGCACTGTGTCCTCAGACAGCTGCTACACCATCCTGACAACAACTGTGCCTCGCTATGCATGCTGGCTGGTATGTGTGGGGCTCAAAATCCATTCCAGATTAATGTGACAAACAGAATGTTTGGATGAAGATAGAGTTACCTAATCTAGATTTTTCTACATTTTAAATTTACCAAAACAAACATTGCCAATCTTTATCCAGAAAAAATTTGTTTTAATTGTCTCAATAATTTGAATATTTGCCAATGTTAATTTTGCGCACGTGTGACCATCCTTAGTTTAGTTTAATTAATTTAATTAATACAAAAATTGTTTTTAATTTAATTTTTATTTTTTTTCCTACATTGTTACGTTGCCAAAGTCTTATGGTCATGTGTTTTTTAGATGGAATCTGATGTCAAGCAGTCTGAGCAAGCCCAACATCTTGCTAAGGTACATTCAGAAGTTTTATGCATATAAATAAATAAATACCTGTATGTATGAGCATGTGACCTCATCACTTATGATATGTGTCTCAAACAGAAAGAGGAAGGCACTTGTCTGGGAAGTGCTCTGACTGTAGCAGATGCTGCATATGTGTTCTCCTCCAGCCAGCTCTCCACACCTGAAGAAGGTGACACTCTTCACCAATATTATCATTTCCACCATGTGACTGATACTCATATACATTAACTGACAATGAATGTAACTGCAGTATAATCATTGATTCTTTGATTTCTAACTAACCTGGAATCAATTACCAAAGTCAACATCACAAGATTGTTTTACACATTCTGACCTTATGTGACAAATAGTCGTGATTCTACATCATTTTAACATTTCTTCAAATGTTATTCTTAGGGAAAATCGTTTTCTTCTCCGAGGGACTTCTGTTTATCCATTCTCAATATGGAAGCATTACCCTGTCCAAGGATCACATCAGCAACATCAAGTTCTATGATCCGGTAATATTTACAGCTGTACCATGTGATATGACATGACATTTTGAGAACATTATTGATAAAGACTTTATAAGAATGGTAAAACATATAATATCAATATATGTTGAATTGCAATTGAATCTCTGGTTCAAACTTGTGTATGATTTGTGTGTCCTCTTATCACCAGGACTCCAGTGCTGTGGCGTCTCTCTTTGTGGAATATGAGAGCAGCCTGCTCCCCCACCTACCATTCCCTCTCCACAGCTCTGACCAGTGTCTGGTCTTTGCTCTTCAGCCCAGGTCTAAGAGCCACAGGGCCTTCTATTCCAGGGTAAGACCTGTAGCCAGGGATCCATTGATCCATCCATGATCCATTACTGTAAAACAAAAAAAGGTTTTAGCCTTCTTTTTCATTTCATGCTCATTAAAGATACAGCTCCAGTTACATACATGAACTTTTCCTCTCTTTGGTGTTAGGTTTTGTCAGTGTGGCAAAACTCTGAGTCTGGGCTCTCTTTGCAATTGGTGGACCAAAAGCACCTGACCTGGAACCAGAAAAACATGTAAGATAGCTTCATTTCCTTTTACAACTTAAGATAAGCCGTCTGTTTGCTAGATTCTATTGAACAGCCCTTGAAGTATAGAACGTTCCATTTTCTTTGCCCTTGAATATCAAATTCATCTTTATTTGTTTTACCAAGCCCCTTTCTCATCATGTCACAAGATTTTGATAGTCCTACGAGCTGTCTGATACATCATTCATAGCGATGCGTGATATTATCCTGGCCAATAAACTATAATGATAATAATAATTTAGAATTCTAATGCAAAATGTTTGATAGCCAATGTAAGTTTTTTGATGTACTCTAACAAATAATTTAACATTTGAAAAGTCAGAACTGATTTAGTTTTTCTTATGTTAACAATAGTTATGTCAGTTAGTTTTAGTTAGATCAGAGCTGTATTACATTATCAATCTTTGCTCACTACATCTCAGTGTGTGTGTGTGTGTGTGTGTGTGTGTGTGTGTGTGTGAAAAACTACAGGTTATGAATTCCTTTTTAAAATACGTCATACATTCTTTTGTTGCCATAGTAGTGAGTCAGTATTTTAGATTTTATATAAGGTAGGTAATTAGGGTTAATTCTGACTTTTTTCTCTCAGGCACACCAGACTGCAGAAGCTGCATGACAGTCAGGAGCCACCAGTGGCCAAACGCAGAGGCAGCCTGAAGACTTCATACTCCCAGCTGCCAGAGCAGGACATGTTAGTACCCACTCAAGTCACCCAGTAGAGTTCCTCACAGTTGGAACAAACAAGTAATAAAACTCGATGCTAGGTATTGCTTAATCATGAGTATGTCTTCCCAAAATAGCTTTTAAGCCTATAATTCTTGGTACAGTGTATTCATCATTGGTGACTATCCACTCTTGGAAGGTTTTTTCTGCTGAGAGAAAGTGCATAAGATAATGTAGCTACATTATCTGGCCCAAAATAAACAGTGCACACACATTTTCTTTCCCCTCTTCATAGCTAAGACAAAGAGGACTGCTCATTTTTAAATGATCTGTTCCAGCAGAGATAAAAACTGATTTTGTGCTTTTATATAAATGTCTACTGCAAAAACTGGAGCAAATACAAATAATGAGAATTAAAGATGTGACTGGTGGAAGGTAATTTATAGTGTTAGTTGTAAAATATTGCCAGTGAGTTGTGACCCACTTTCTGCTAACTGAGTGCTGTATTCTGGTCTATGCCAGGTTTCTACAGCACTTTGCTTTGAGTAGTATTGGTCAGGAGCCAATTCTGTATGACCACCTGGGGGTGCTCTTCCCCTCCGCAGAGCTGAGGAATCCAGTCAACAGTCAGGGAGATAAGGTGAGCATATACTGACTAAGCTTTGCAGTAGATCTTCCTCATTTGATAAATGTAGATACGAATATAGATAATCCTGAGATTAGCTGATACTATTCAAATCTGATATGTGAAAAGGTTGTCATTACCATCATCACTGGATTGCCGGGAAGCCATAAGGAGAGACTCTGCAACTTCCTGGTCCAGCTGAACAAGGAACATGGAAGGTGAGAGAGAGATTTCACCTAACAGGGTTTTTTTGTTTTGCGTTTTTGCTTTTTGTTAAACTTTTTGCTATTATTTTTAATCTTCTGCTGTGGTTATGTCATAATAATAATGCTAATGAGAAGAACAACACAAATAAGAATAATACAATTTGACTATTACTTCATCCGTAGGTGGGTGGTGTACCAGCCTGGCCCTGACAGCTGTGAAGGCTTCTCAGCCTCTCACCTTCAGCTGTATTTGTCCAGCTTCCTGGAGAGCCAGAGAGGCCCAGGAGCCAAACCCCGTCTGTTGGTGCTCTCACCTGGGTAAGAAAGCCCGCTGATCAGCTTGATACAGCTTTTGACTGACTCATCCAGTAGAGCAGAACTGAGCAAAATCTATCTAAAAATACAACAAAAAAATAATGAAATATTAAAATAATGTTATCTGATGTTCATTGTTCAGTGTCATGAATACTAATAATTACATCTTAGTACATAAAACAAGTCTTTATACCTTTTGAGTATTTTATTTATTCAAACCTAACAATAACAGACATTAGTTCTAATTTCAGAAATTAGTAAAAGAAAAGACTGAATTAATTTAGTGGTCTGTGTGATTATTTTTTATTAATTTGTAAATGTTCCAACTTGTACAGATACACAGATGTTCTGGATGTGGTCCAGGCTGTGCTTTTCCACCCTGACCCAGTTGTCCAAGCGTGTTTCACCATCGGCGCTGTAACTGCTTGTGTGGACCCCCTCACCTCCTGTGTGGAGCACAGGTAAAATATATTTCTCAAGTAGATTAGCTTTCAACTTGGCTGCTGTTAAAATGAAATTAACAAAATAACTTTTGACTGCCACAAACAAATGTATATCAGATGAATTCACGTCCATTGACATCAATCTGCTCCGGTTTCATCGTTGCCATTTAACAAAAGTCCACAATGTGCAAGTAGACCCATTGGATTTCCTAGCAGACTGGGAAAAAAATGAAATCACTTACAACTTACATTTTTGGAACTAAAGCATAAGATTACAACAATATACTAAATTACCTAACTTATAAAAGATGACTCCTATTCTGATCCACAGACAACCCATTTAGTGACTCATTTGCAAACATAGCAAACAACTTTAGTATACAGTTATGTCACAATCCTGCAGCTGCTTCACAGTAAATGCCCTCAAGCAACGCCTCCTGCTCTTTGCTAATGTATTTATCAGATTCCCAGTTTCTGGAGGGCTTTGAAGTTTGTATTAACAGCATCTTAAAGAGTATTTAACCAAAAATTAATCCAATAAGTAGTAAGTAGTACAACCTGTAGGCTAGAAACAGAGTTTGTTGCAGGACGGCAGTCGCAGTCAAACAGGATTCACAGCAGTTAGAATGGATTTGGTGACCCAATTTCACAACAAAAAACTACTCACTCCTGCAGCATAATCCGCTGTTCTGCTGTCTGTCTGTATGCTCGATATGTTGCAGAAACATACATTTTCACCAATAATAGCTTCCATTTGTTCCTAGTACAGTTAGCTGCTCACTGCAGTCATTGTCAGTAAAGGTGAGCTCGCAAAAACTTCTAGCTGTCATGTTTTAGCCTATCTTGCAAAGTTAAAGAGGTTAAATGAGCTAAAACCCACCAGTGACCGAACCTAAAGTTCTAATCAAGGGTTTCATGCTGTTATGTTTTCAAGTAACATGGACAGATCAGATGATGACAGACGACGTTGATGAATTGTTGAAGTACTGGAGGTTTCCAGGACGAGGTCAAGGCAGGGTCCCTTTTACGGAGAGGATCAGTTCTACATTTAATCTCACTCTCCTTTTGTTACAGGCTTTAGATGTAGCTTATAGAGCTTCACACTGTCGTAGATTGACTGAGCTGCTCCGCACAATATGACATACCACTCCAGTTAATAGGCTGTTTTCCACTGCACAGCCAAGCTGGCCAGTGATACATACAGATGAAGTCAGCCAAGAGGTTCTACTTTTTACAACATGCTTGGAAACTACTACTGCTGTCTTTCTTCATCAGAAATCAAATTCAAAAGTGTTATAACAAATAATCTGGTAACTAGCTGAAGTATAATAATTAGATTCTGCACAGTAACATCATGCATAAATACCCAATACTATACTTATATTATACTAGCATATATATAGCAGGATTAGGATAACTACTATAAAAACCCATAGTCCTGTAGACAAGATGATTGTCTAGCGAGCTGAGCTTTAATAATAAATCTTGAATGTGTTTTGGATCCTGTGCTATAAACATCCTGGGATGACCCTCCACTCAAACTTTGACAAGCCCCACTTGGCTCAGCAGTGGAAAAATATGTAAGAAGAGGTTTAGTTAGCAATGTGGTTAGCACTGACTTTTTCGTTTGTAGCACCTTCAACAAGCCCCTATCACTGTCTGTTGCCATAGATTGTGTGGAGGTCTGTAGACCCCCACTATGGTGCTAATTGGGTGTAGTTAGCCTAGCTTAGGCCTGACCTGCCTGTCAACCCCCTCAGCATATCCTTCTAATCCCCCAAGTCCACATGTGCGACCAATACACCCTCTTCAGTGAAGCTCATCACTCAGTCATGATCCATTCTTTGTGATGAATGTAGACAGTTCATTACATCAGGACAGGAAAGATAAATGCCTTCCAAATTGCTGATGCCCCAGCCTGCGGGCTCCCTAAGAGCTGCAGGGGAGGCTCTGTGGTGGCTGGAGGGGGACTTGGCTCAGAACTGTTATTCAGAAAGTGGTGTATAACACAGATTGATTTGAAAACTCAGGATAAATTATGTTAAGATTAAATGAGATTACTGAAAGCTTTTACATTGGTCAGTTGCCAGTCAGAGTCATGATGTCATCCTATGAAAAAAGCCTCACGATCCATAACTGGATTGCTAGCCAAGGGCCATAACATGGAGTTAGCTTGTTTATTGCTACACAATTTTGGCAAGCACCCAGACATGAATAAAGTTATTGTAAGTGATGATATTGTGGAATAAGACACGGGTTAAAATAAAAAGTACTGTCAAATAAATAAAATTAACCCACAGCTCCTGTACTTGTGTCACCCCTATTTTCAACATAATCTATCCATAACACAGCAGTGACCATCTCAGTCAAATTAAATTTGCATTTGACTGATGACTGTACTCAAGTATACTGTACATTTTGACTTTTTATCTTAAGTTGTTCTGTCTCTTTTCACTTTAGGTTTGCTTTCCCTAAGCTGTTGGAGCAGTGCAGCCAAGGTAGGTCCTGTCTGTTGCTTTCCCAACAACAAGATACACTAAGGATAAACTTGTGTCATAGAATACCAAGGAAACATCATATTATATTCACTGATATTGATTTGAAGTGTAATGCTTTTTTGGAAGCTGTACAACCAAATGTCAGACTGGCCGTACAACCATTAAAGGTCAAGAAATGTATGCTTTGTGCCAAACAGGAATGAGAGAAGTCAGAGGAGACATTTTGCATGTATGACAAAAATATGAATAATATTTTAACTAGTAGAGTATCAAAATAGCTAGATCCAACACAAACATCCAATGAAAGTAATATATTAATATGTGCAATAAGGCTTTTTTGATTTAGCCTTTTTCAGGACCATCCTCCATGTTTGAATGGAGTTTCGAACTTATTTTCAATGTATTACCCAAATATGAAGGTTATTGTTTTCTATGGAGTAGTGAAGATTGAAATTGAAATAATAATAATAATAATAATAATTAGGGTGTTCCAATTGATGGGTCACCAATCGTTATTGGCTGATATTCGCTTCAATAAGTTTGAACGGCGATCTATATAAACGCAGATCAGAAGAGCCGATCGGCTGATGCATTTATTTTATTCCACAGGAAGGTCATTCAGTCTTTGACACATGTGATACAGAATTAGCTGACCTCCTTTGTTTTAAGCTTAGACTGTGGGACATTTAAGAGCAGTTGGTCAGCAGATCTGAGTAATCTTGGTGCAGAGTATTGGGGCCTTGTACTGAATTCGGAAGCATACAGGAAGCCAGTGTAAGTGTGCCAAAATAGATGCAATGTGCTCCCTTTGTTTAGTATTTGTGAAAAGCTTCGCTGCCACATTCTGAACCAGTTGACATCGAGCAAATACAGATTTGCTTAAACAGGGAAATAAGGAGTTACAGTAATCCAGGCAGGAGGAGATAAAAGCAGGGATTTGCTTTACAATATTCTTAGGCAGTACTAAACTGATTTTGGCAATATTTCTAGCTGCAAAAAACAAGACTCACAGTTCTGTAATGTTATGGTCAAAATTTAGATTTTGATCAAGCACGGCACCAAGTTTTGTAGTAGATGGTTTTATATTCCCTGTTAGATGCCTGAGGTGAGGATTAATACTCTTTGAAACTTGGTCCAAGCCAATGACCAATTATACTGTTTTGTCCATATTCAATTGTAAAAAAAATCAGTGACATCCAAACTTTGACATCAGTAAGGCAATGTGTATCCAGATATTTAAGGTTGTCAGAATGAAATGATACATAAAGCTGGGTGTCATCTGCATAACAATGGTAGGCAACAATCTTAAACTGACAAATAAGATGACCATGAGAGGGGGCATATACATGCTTAACAAGATGGGCCGAAGACGTAATCATCAAAAGTCACCCTGAAACACCTCTCTGTGAGGAGAGGAAAACCATCGAGGGCAGTTCCATCTATGCCGACCCAGTGCTTTAGTCTGTTTAGCAATATAGTATGACAGTCGAAAGGCAGCAGACAAGTCAAACATTACTGAAATGGAATGATGGCCTGAATCTGCATTCATAAGAATATCATTAATTCATCATTAACTTTCAAAAGAGCAGTTACAGTACTATGTAGCTGGCGAAAACCTCATTATAATAGATCAAGAATGTTATTAGTTTCCACTAGTTCTAGTAGTTGTTTAGCAGCAGCTTATTCAATGGTTTTTGAGACAAAGGGCATTTAGAGGTTGGTCTGTAATAATGAGAGAGTGCTGGATCAACACCAGTTTTTTTTTTTTTTTAAAGTAGATGAGTACAGGTTTGTTTAAAAATATCACACATTCCATATTGCATTTGGAGTTCGCCATACAGATCTCACCATGATGGTGGTCAAAACATCATCCATTTAGTGTTATTAAAGGATTCAGGTAAAGCCTAAAGGGCCAACTCTCGATAGGTTCAGCATGCCATTGCCTCAATCACTTCATATTTGACAGCACACAGTTCACATTCCATCTTGTATTCTGAAGTGACATATTGAAGATTTTATTTGGGATTACTGCCATCATCCTTGCCATCTTTGTTACTAGAACCAGAAAAATCCCAATTTGGGCAGCGTGGAAGAAGTCTGGCTGGGGGGAGCTGAGATGGAATAAGCAAGGGGCAACCACCGCAGTTTTATCTGACATAATTACTTATGGGGTCTTTTATATCTTACTATTCGCTTTGAAGGAATCAAAATATCAGTTTCCCTAAAAATTAAGCCTGCAGGTAGAACACAGAAGTAGTAATGCCGGTAAATCGAACCTATGATAAGTGGCTACGCAGATGTGGTTTTGTATTTTCAGGAAAGTGAGACAGTTTCTCCTGGAATTTACATTCCCTTTCTGTGCCTGGTTTTATGTCAGGTATTGTGAGTACAGTGGTGTTCACCGGGCTGACAGCAGAGCAGAAGCACCCTCTCATGCAGCATGTTCAGCAGTTGGTACGCTCTGCCAACCCCACCGCAGCCTTCACACTGGCAGAGAGAGGAGCTGTCACCAGGTAGGCACCCACAGAATTGTGATCAATGCCGGAAACAGTCATTTAACTGCTTTTATCTTTGCCTAAAATATTCACTCTAGGCTACATTTTATCCTGCTTTCTTGGTCTATGTTTGAATCTTTTAGGTCAGAGCACTGCTTGGTTGGCACAGTTATGTGTCATGAACATTTCCCAATGCATTCTGCACTTAAAGAATATTTCAATATTGTAATTAAAAGCCCATAACCACTATACATAGTTATCTAGGAGTAGTTGTGATATTTGCATGAGTTTTTACACATACCGGTATTTGTACAAGTATTACATATTCATTGAGTGCTGTCTTTTGTTTGTGTTTTATTAATTAGGAATGAAGATGTGAATCTGATATTTTCTGATGGTAGCTTCAATGAGCCACAGATGCTGAGAGCACGTTATGTCCTCTACCCTGGATGGTAAGACCCTCGTTCTATGTTCCACTCTACTAGTTGTGACCCCCGTGTGTCCTCCTGCGTCCACACTCAACCTTTGGGCCACTGAGCAACAGATTGGCGTTGATTCCTTCCTCGGCATTCCTCTGTCTTCTCTCGCCTCCTTCCCTGCAGTTTAATTGCCACTCGGCTGCAGTGGTGGGGGCATCGGCTGCTGATTGCTGTAAAGCCCCCCAGGGCATCTTGTGTTCTATCACCAGCTGCCTCCTGGCAGCACAGTAACAAGCTGTTGGCCATGCAGTTGCCATGTACACAGAGGGGGTCTCCTTCCCTTTGGACCTGGTCCAGTCAGCCTTCATGCCACAGTGGTCAGCCTAATATGAACCTCTGCTAAATCCCCCCGTCAGATCATACACTGGCTATCTGGCCAGAGTCTGCCCCCTCTGATTTACTCATCGTCAGGCTTTATTTTGTGTGTATATATGTATGTGAGTGTGTTTAAGATTGCTTCTTACGTGTCCTTAACTTCTTGACCAAGACAGGAATCGTTTTCAACCATTACATTTACAGATTTATCATCCACTTCCACAGTGCTACTAGCAAACAACATACACTGGCTCCTTTCCTGTGGGCAGCTGGTAGAGTAAACAACTTTCCAGCCAAAGACAAAATGTAGCACAAACATTTGGCTTGCTCTAGACTTAACTTTCTCACCATTTGTGTAATGTGCACGTGTTCTGTGTTCCAGGTGCAAAGGGCGCTTCTTCTCTGGTTCTGGGTCTCTGGTCCTCACCCAGCAGCGCGTGGCTTTCAACCGCCCCCTAGAGAGGCCTCTATTTGTCACCCGCTGTAAAGGTGAGATGGAAAGGAATTCTCCCCCCTTTTTTTGACTCTTACACGTGACAGAAGCTCCAGATATGAGCTGGCAGGGTTTGAGGATGATTACATAAGCTGCCTTTCCCTCCAAATATGGAGACAACTGAGGTCTCAAAGTAATCGTCTGCGGTGGCTGTAAAATAATCTGTATTCCCAAAGGATGCATGACATCTTGCCACCAACTTTGCTTTTCAAGAAAATGTAAATTAATATTGTTAAAATCTACAGTTTGTTTCACTATAGTAACTGCTTGAACTCTCATCTTTTTTCCGTAGCATTGAAGTCATCACTAAAGCCAAGCCCCTTCCGAGGAAATGTGTACAATATTTGGGGGAAAGTCCGATTTTCTGGTAGGACTGATATTTTCAATTTATTTTTGTCTTATCAAATGCATTGCCGCTTTTGCTAACATTTTCAGATCAGATTTTCAATTCCAGAGAACTTGCTTTTGCTAAGCATTACTAAACAAATGTGACTTCTTTCCCCGGTAAATGCTTGACCTGTATTTGCATTTCCCAGTTTTGGGAATTATTTGAGAAAAGGTTGCGCTCAAGGCAGGCAAGAAGCTCCTGACGGTAGGAATATTGCTCGGTTGTTGCTCTGGTGTCTGGTGTTTAGAATTCAGCTCATAGTCCACTGGTTTGGTTTTCTCCACATAGTTTTCTCACTCTTTTTCATTTGAAGACCTGTGTAGAGCTGTTGCATGAGGAGAGAGTGCAGGTGCCTGTGAGGAGATGTGAAGAGAGTGTGCAGATATTTGTAGAGAGTTGGGAAGATATAGTAGTGTGGAACGAGTGTGGAGACTGTACTGTATGATCATTATTCTAATACTCACATTCCTTTAGCCTCAAGTGTGTATCTCAGTCCCTGTCTTTAGGGTAGTGTATCATTTACATCACTTTATATTTGGTTATTTTACTTTAAATTTTTGTATTTAGCTGTTGCACTTTCAATACATTTTACAATGAGTTGGGACATGTTTTATCTTGTTTTTTACCACACATGTGAGTGCTGTGAGCCATTTTGGGAGCAGAGAGGTTGTATGGATGTTAAAACATTAACACTCCGCCAACACCATGCTGTTACCATATGAATCTGCTCTAGCAGGTGTTGCACAAGGTGTGAACTGTATGTGCGACTTGTATGTCAACTCTTTCATCTCTGGAACCTCCAGACTCAGACCAACTGATGGAGGTGAGCTACAACACAGTGAGTGGGAGCCTGAGCATTGTCCCAGACCAGAGCACTGACCCTCTGACCCCGGGCACCAAAGAGACCAACACGTCCTGCTTTCTGATCTTTGATGGAGTTGGTCTCACTGAGGATGGACTGAAAGACTGGCTCAGACTGTGTGCAAAGCAGGTAGACATTTAAATATTCTGTTTTTGATGACAGTTCACACTGAGACTCATGTATAGATCTGTTATGATACAGTAACCTGCTGTATAAGGATTTAAACTGTTGTGTAACCACAAGGCTGTTGTTTCTGTTTGCGGTCTACAGAGGCAGACAAAGAAGCCTAAGAAGACTAAAAATGCCCTTTCATCACAAGAGATCAAGCGCATACACGTGAGTGTGTTTACATCTATAATTATTTATAATATCATTTTGCCAGTGGTGGAATTTTGTGTGGATAGAACTGCATTAAAGCTACTCTGTGGAGTTTTTTCGGAGCTAGCAGCTGCTTTGTTTGTGCCTATATTGAATTACTATCATGCATACGATCCCTGCTGAAGGTTTCATGTCTGGTGGCTGTAAGAAATTTCAGTGTGCCAGCAAAAGGAAAAGGAGGAAAGGAAGATTTCTAGTTGGTGTAAACAGGAATGTAAATAATGCAGTTTTCAAAATATTTCCTTTCTCTGCAAAAAAATTAAATGCATCCCACACATTTGTTAGACCTCTGGGATACATGGATATATGTATTGTGACAAACAATGAATGTAAACAAAACCGTTTCTTTACAAGAAACTCCACAGGCTACCTTTAGGTTTATGTCAATAAATGCCACTGCGAGAGCAAAAGAGTATGAAATCTTTGATGTGAGATACAAGCCTCACCACCATTTGCTCTCTTGGTGCTTGGCTGATGCTTTTTTGTTTGTTTGTTTGTTGTTTTGGAGATATTCCTTATCTTCTAAGAGAGCTTGGGCTGTTATTGATGTGAGCCTTTTCAGTCAGTAACCTTGACTGAACTTGATATTTTATGTTTTTGTTTAGGTCTCCAGGCACTTGGACCCGTTACCACCAGGATACTTCTACAACGGTTACCAATACGTTGACATCTTTGGAGAAAAGAGGAACCTCCATCCCAGTATCCTTTTCCTAGTGGTTATTGTCTGTTATAGAACATCAGCTTAGGGCTGCAACTAACAATTAATTTGATAATCGATTAATCTGTTGATTATTACTTCAATTAATCAATTATTAATCGGATAAAAAGACGAAAACTATATTTCTATCCTTTCCAGTATTTTATTCAAAAAACAGCGTACTGGTCTTCTTGTACCATGCTCTTTCAAACAACTTGCCAAATAAAACAAAGCAAATGTTACAAAAATAGTTTGTTTTTTTTTATTATTTTATTATTTACATTTTTTCTCAACACAAAAACCTTTTACAGTATTCCATTTAAACTGGAGCCAAATGAATTTAATAAACAAACATAAAATAAATAATAATAATAATAATAAAATGTATAAAGTGCACTTCAGTTTGTAGCTGAACGGTTTTTATTTAAACTGTTCTTCAGCTAAATCACCTCCCTTTTTTTAAACTGAAGACTTGAACAGGTTTTTGTTTTGAGAACAAATGGAAAGGCCTGCTATGTGAAATTTGTCAAAACCTATATATATTGTGTTTTTGTTGATAACTGTTAAAAACCATTCAGCTACAAACTGAAGGGGACTTTATACATTTTATTATTATTATTAATTTTATGTTTGTTTGTTAAATTCATTCACCAAAAATAAAACGGAAATGTAACTAATCAGATCAGAACTGGATCAGATATTGTTCAATATTTGCGTATAACATAGATCCAACGAATCGATGACTAAATTAATCGCCAACTATTTTTATAACCGATTTTAATCGATTAGTTGTTGCAGCCCTACATCAACTACATCTAAGTTGTTACTCAAGCTTGGAATACTGTACTGGAGACTTACTGGAGTCATATTTCAGTTGTTTAACAAAAAAGCACTTAGTGTACATACATTAGATCTGAGTCAGTTTAGTAATTTTTTGACCCCAAGAAAGCATGGCTCATGAATCATGCAAATCTGCTTGCGTCTGTATTGTTGTGTGTGGCGTTCGTGCTGCTGTTTCCCTTACATTGCTGTTACTGCAGACATGGAAGAGTTTATTAAAGAGTACATCACCGAGGCCAACAAAGAGATCGAGCTATTCAACCGTCAGCTGGAGCTGCAGGGACAGCCTGACCTGTTTGATCCGTGATAGAATCTGTCTGTATGTTCACTGCCTCCATCTGTCTTTTTAACTCTAAGGGAACCACTTTGGGAGGGACAGGGTGGGCACAGGGGTTATGTACTGAACACGCCACTAGAATGGTCAATGTTTGTTCACACCACATGCATCTGCAGAAACTGCTGCTGTCCATTCATTAACTACATACTATGTCACTTTGTTTCCTAATTTGGTGGCATAAAAGGGTTTAGTGCAGGTGAGCTTTTAAACAGGGACCCATCAGAAGCCAGTTATGTCATGGCATGGCTGTTTGCCTTCCTTCCCACTGCAACACCACTAACTGTACAGTTAGCACTTTGGTGAGTTAGGTGTCATATTTATTAAATGAAAGTGGCAAATTGATTTGGTCACTTGTGTTAATTCAAACTAAGACACGTTTGTCAAGAGATGAGAGTTGCCCACAACTGCAGACAAATGTGAAACATAACGCAACACAAGAGTCCATCTTTAAACCAATGTGATTACACCACTAAGCCTGCAAGCTATGAGATTTTCACAATTGAAGGGAATTTCCAACCGCACACTCCTACGGCTTGTGCGTTTCTGTTTATCACAGTTGGCAAATTAATGCCTCTATTTCTGGACAGGCATGGATAGCCGTGTGATTCTGGTGGGCTCCCTGGTGGGGTTTCTCAAGAATCGCTCCTCCTCTGTTGTCACCCAATCCGTGGCCCACCTGTTATCTTGTCTGCGTGCCACGCTGCAGCAGAGGGAGTGCTTGGCCATAGAGCTGTAAACATTGGACAGTCTGTTGGCTGCAGACAACTGATGAATGATGCCATTAATCACATAGCTAAACGCCATCCCAGTGCTTTATTTTAAGACTCCTAAAGTGAATCTAATGAAAGTGCAATAAAGCAGACTTCCGTCCCTGCAGCAAAATGTTGTAGTTATAACACAGCTGAGGCCATCAGGAAACACATTGAATCACTAATATGTAACCCCAGTCCCTCAGAAAATATAAATATTCCTTAAAGCACTGTATTCTGTTTATTCTAATGCTGCTAGTTAACAGTGAGAAACCAGGTAGACAGAGAAAGCTAAGTTAAGCCTCACTGCAGTCAGGTGTGGATCACTCATTTCACCATTTTGGTCTAAATGTTCATTTGTTGTTGCAATTGTTATAAGTGTGAACATTCCATGTTTTGTTTTTGTTTGTTTGTTTGTTTGTTTTATAAATCTTTTGGGTAGGACAAGGGGAACATGATGATCTGGGAAAACCTTAATTCAGTTTTCTGTTTGGTTAGGTTTGGGTAAACACGAGTAGAGCCTTTAGTGAAAGGTCTAAGGCTTTGTATCAGTGGTGTGATGTTGCAGAGAATCAGACTCTATGTCCTGTTTTAAATGAGTAGTTATGCTACTGTTAGCTCTGCGTTGGCGTGTCACACTAATGTTCTATGCATGTCTTCCTGTTGTCCGGGTTCCTACACAGGTCTTGAAATGATATAACTTGGGAGAAAATGTGTTTGATAAGCTCTCAGTAATTTCTGTTGTCATTTGTGCCGCTGCACATTTGAGTAGTATAAGACCCACATTATAAATTGATATCTAACCAAACAAGCATTTCAAAGTGAAAGCTTGGTAAATAAGTGGAATTTATAAGTTGAAAAATGTGTAGGAGCCCTGCTACAATCTCTGGAGATTTAATGGCTTTCATTCAGTATGGGGTCAGCAGTGTACCATGCAGACTAATTAACAGTCTTTGAGTTAAAAGGCGCTAGCTATGTCTTCAGTGAATTGATACTGACAAAGGAACATTTAAATGCACATGGAAGTGTGCTCATACTGCTGCTATTGTCAAGGTACGACATATTGCATTACCCTTTGTACACTCTAGCAAAAAAGCCCTTGTACACAATAATGAGTGTTTCTACCATGTCAGATAAGAGAGGAAGGGTGTTACTGCTAAGAGACCATTTTGAGTCTATAATCTAATTCTTTAGCAGAGGGGGGAATTCCTGCTAGTGAGGTGAACATTAATTCAGTGTTGTTAGATTCAAATCTAAGATATTTTTAGATCAGTGGTGACCTCAGTGTATTTTGGGTTGCCATTCACAACACTGGCTATGTCATGTTTTACATGTCTGTCTGTCAGCGCTGTCAACAGCCAGTCAAATTAAAGGAATCAATAACTCTGTGTTCAGCTGGCAGGCAAACAGAGAGTGATAACATTGTTAGCAAGTAATTTTTCCCCAGATGACCCGTGAGTATCTGCAGATTCGAATCATTCTGAGGCTGAACTCAACCTGACACTGCTGGCCCCATCCGTCCACTCAGTAGAGTTCGCTTTGATCTGAACAAGCCATGCCATCTTATGCTAGATGTGCCACTGTCTTTTAGAATGATAATACAATACATAGACTAGCACATAACATAGCAATGAAGTATGCCTCTAACGTATTACGCTGGCATGTTCCAGCCAGTAAAAGAGGAATTCACATGGTGAGGAGCAGCTCACCCCAAGTTACTCATTCCATTAACTCCTCCCTTACAGTCCTTCTCTTTGACTCTATAAAGGAAGTGCAATTGTACCTTGTGTTTTTACATATTCTACTTACAGTACCCTCAAATAGCTCTTTAAGGACAGAGCTGAGCAAACAATTGAAGCTGCTAAATTCTCAGTCTCTCACAGCTTGTGTTCTGTGGTCTGCTGGATTCTGGCTTTGAGTGCTTGTAGTTCACATAAGACCATAAAAGGTCTGTGTAGGAACAACAAGTGAATGGTTTTGTTGCAAAATGAGATGCAATTTGAAAAAAAAAAAGCATTACCTCTGCTTACAAATGAAATGCAGACCGATTACAGTGCTTTTTTTTAAAAAGTGGGACAGGATAATATGTACCATAATTCCTTTGTTGACTAAATGAAAAACCCTTGTTTAAGCTGGATGCTCTGTACAGTGTTTCAGAGATGCACTCTCAGTGCTGTCTGTTTTGAGCAACAGTTGCTGTCCTTCTGTAGTTATGTAATACTGCAGAGAGTTACCCTGAGTGACAGGGAAATAGTCTGAAGCTGATGTATGGGAGACTGAAGGTGCCACAACACTGACACCTGCTCCACATGTCAAAGAGCAGAGAAAGTGAAACCATAATTGGCAGAGAGATCAAAAGTTGTCCTTAAAGAGTTGAGGGTTATGTAAGATGTTTGTAATATTTAAATCAAATTACCACTAACGCGTATACACACACATATACACGACTACTACCACCAAGTACGTCTACACTATTTTGCATGTGTTGAGATGTTATGTGAATATGATACCACATATTTTCTGACAAAATTTGCCTTTCACCAAACTGGTACAACAAAGAGAAAATAATCACATTTATTTTACATATCTGCTAAGAATTTGAATTACCTCGAAACGAAATAGTATTTTTGTAAGACAGTGAATTGAGCACTGTAGATGCAAGCAAAACGTCTCTTCTCGCACAAGCTACAAAAAGCAAAAGCAGATGCAATTTTTTTTGTAGGAAAAAAAAAAAAACTCGAAGAGAAACTGATCGGTTGTGAGATGTCAGGTTTCTCTGATCCAGCAGTGCCTTGGCTACGGCTAAGAAAAGCAGAGATTAAAGCTGCAGTCAGAGCTCCATCCCTCTCCCTGTCACAGGGGGAGGAGGTGTTGTCAGGCGAGGATCCGTCCTTCAACAGTGTTGGTGAAAGGAATCCATGGAGTCATTCTTTAAAAGCAATGTGTTTTTACTAAGCCAGAGGGTAAAGTAGGCGAGGTCACACAGGGGACGGCCCCTGGAGGGCTCAGGACGATTCAGGTATTCTTGCAAACTAACCAAAATGATGTTGGGATACGGGCTGGGTACCACAGGTCTGATACTTCAAATCTGTTCATGTTCACAGTGGTACATTTCTCGGTGGCTTAGTTTGGTTTATTACAGGAGCAACAGATCAGATTCCGTTGATTTCTTTAAAGAAGATGTACATACACGAGAAGGAAAGCTGCGTCTTTGTCCGTGTTCTTTTAAAATCAACTATCAGAAATACTGGGAAATACAAAAGTTTATATGTATTTATTTTTTTATGCCCAGCCCTAGTTGGGATACAAAACACTGAAGTTTTGTATCAGAGTATGGACCAAAAAAAAAATGCAGATTGAGTTTGTGACTAAAGTTTGGTGACCCCTACTTATTGCACATTGGGGGCCCAAAGAGCCCTCCACAAGCCTCTCCGTGTGACCGCTACACAGCTCTCTGGCAGACTGAGCACCCTGGTGTCTTCATCCTGTATGTGGAGGCTAGCCGTTTTGTAGCTGAAGTTATAGGACAAAAACAAAGTTTGGTGTTAATTGGTTTTATATAACGTGGGGAAATGTGATCTTCTTATACTGCAAAATTAAACTGTTTTTTTGTTCTTTTTTTTTTTGTTTTGAGAATTGGCTCCAATGTTGAAAAAGGGCCAACAGTGTGGAATGTATGCACTTCTTCAAGAAGTGGATATTTCTATGGTATTTTTGTGCTTATTGGAGAAAGGTGGCTTGGAAATTGATTTCTAACTGTCCAAATATTTCTCAGGCCTCAGCGGACTGTTGATACTAATTGTTTGGGCTGTTCTGTCCTATGAAGGTTAAAAGGGAATTACAGGCTCTTCACCCCTCAGTCCTCACAGACAGCGAGAGGAATTTGCTCAGGTTTACTTATTATTTCCATACCTGAGATTACACATTTGTCCTATCAAACCCAAGTGTTATAGACGAAGATGGGGGTGAAATTGTGGTTAATATCTTCTGTCTGTAGCCACATACCGGCTGGCAACACAGCCGTGTACAAAAAAAGAAAAGAAAAAGATAGGGAACACTAACGATTCAAGCTGAGAGGTTTTTCATATGTCATGATGGCAGAATTAGATCTGGGAAAAAAAAACAGCAAAGGGCTCATTTCTTCTCCCCTATCTACAGGCCGTCCAAAGTGAAAGGAAAGAAAACCTTATATAAGTAACTTACTGTCTCTATTGTGAGGAGAAGCAAGGAAAAAAACCAACTAACTTCAAAAGTGCCAAACTGACCTCCACATTGAGTTTCGAGGGTGTTCACAGTGTGTGAGCAAAACTGAATTGCATTTGCACAAAAACTACTGTAACTTCTGTTTTTTTCCTGTGACTGATGCTTTTATAATCTAATTGTTGTTTTTATTGCACCACGTAATCCATTAAATATTTATATGGTTGATCAATCTCTGTTCTTTTTTATCTCTTTACACCTGATTTTACACTGTGCTCTTTGGCTGTGTGAGAACTGTTTTGCTCTCAGATGTCAGCAGCCACACATGCAGCCAGTTCAGCATAGTGGTGGATTTGTCACTTGGTGAAACAACATGGACTCACCCTGTGCATCCAAACCCTGTATCAGCACCAACTGAGGCAGTGAGCGCTGTGTTGCTGGGATTGGGAGAGCTAGACTAAACAGCAACTGTCTGCAGAGTGTGTGTGTGTACACGCTTGTGTGTGTGTGTGTGTGTGTGTGTGTGTGTGTGTGTGTGTGTGTGTGTATGTGTGTGTCTCTTTTGTGGTTGAGCTTTTAACACACTTCGTTAGAAATGGCAGCTGAAACGGTGCTGAGAGAATGTGAGGAATCCTGCCCCACATAACAGTTTTAGCCCTCCATTTCTACATGCTGTGTGTGTGTGTGTGTGTAGGTGTGTGTGTGTGTGTGTTTGAAAAAAAAAGGAAGATAGAGTCTGTGTGTGTGTGTGTGTGTCCTTGTATTGTTGCCAGGCAGATACAGTCCTCCACATGGCTAACCTCTGACATCAGCGTTTCCTCGCCTCTCTCCTGCCACAACGGCGCCGCCAGTTTCTCCCCAGCGACTCAAGGCAAGGACCCCCCCCGCCGCCGCCCAGATACACTTAACAGACTTTAAAACACACTCTTACCATGTCGCTTCCACCATTAACCGCCCTTTTTTCTCCTCCCCGCCCCACTATTGTTGTATTTTTACTGAGGCTGTGAGCTGAGGCTATTTGTGGCCTATTATGACAGCCACATGTAAACACTCATCACTCTCACTGGCGTCTGCCAAAGCCTGCTGAGTGGGCCCAGGTCACTGCAACAATAGTTCACTGTACAGTGCTGGCTTTGTTCACTTTCACTCAGTGGGATTGTGGGGGACTTTCTTTTTCTTTTAAACTAAGGCTAATAAGGTGATGCGGTGCATGTTTCGGTGGGTGGAAAGGAAGGGGTCACCAGCCTTGACCCTAACTTTAACTGTCCCCTGGTTTCCGGCTGCATGTGACAATGAGCTCCAATTCATGTTGTTAACTATGACATACACTCAGTTGCCTAGCTAAAAGTAATGCAGTCTAATACAACAGTCCTGCAATTAGACAGACCTATATGAAGTTTATAATATAAAGTTTTTGTTGGAATTGTTTTAGAGAAGAGTTGGCTCAACTGTACTGCTAGATATAATTATATAGATATTATTATTATGCATTATACTGGTGTTTCTATTTTGTCCACCTCATTTATAGAAACGAGGGAAAATCCTCCAAATCCAAACATTATAACCTTCATGAAGGACTGCTGTATCCTTATACCATACAGGCGCAGGGTTTGAACCGTGCTTGGAATTAGTATGTGCATACTAGTGAAGGTTTTTGAGTAATGAACATTATTGTCACATAATGCAATAAAAAAAATAGGAAATGAAGGAGCTTCTTGTAGCTGCAATAAATAAACCTAGGAATAAAGAAGATTGTTCTTTCTCTTTGAGGAGTTTAACTGACAGTAGGGTTTCAAGGACACAGATTGTTAGACGTCCGTTGGCATCTTGTATCACTTCCTGTTTGTACAAACCAGACAAGTACATCGATTTCCTGAATACTAACTGCAAAAACAGCTTAATATGAAATGTGGAATGTAGTCCATACATAGTGAGTATGGTGTTGGGATCCAGTGCTAGGTATCTGTTGTACAGATGATAATCCAAATGATCTGTATGGATAAGTTTAGGCACCTTAACCCTATAGGCTACCAGGATTACTAACATTTGAACATTTTACACGTTATAATTGAAACAAAAACAAACATTGATAGGCCTTTAGATACATGCTCTAATGATGGAAGCTTAAATTGCAGTGTTGCACTGTGACTGTTAAAAAGAAAGAGTCCCCCGGATTTTTTTTCACAGTATGTTTTTATTTCACGCCTTTTGCCAACCATCATTTCAACATCATAGTTATGCGCAAATGCACTCTTGATCAGTATGACATCTCGGCTGAGCACCATAGCTGAGCACCATTGTCAATCTTAAGGTTTTTTTTGTACTAAATACTACCTTGATCAAAAAAGAGCTTTCAAAAAATGTTCCAGGTAAGTATAAGTATTGCATTTTGATCACTTCATTGCTACAGAGTTTAAACATTCACAGGATCATACATGAAATTCAATTTTATACACCTTATTATGACAATAGGCAATAACCTGACTCCACCTGTGTTACGTTGATGCAGTTTAACCTGATAGATTATGGCTCACAGTATGAATTATTTGCAGATATTTGCATATCAGTAACTTCATTAGGCAGTTAACAGCTATATTCAGAGAACTATCCATCTGGTCTCTAGCAGCATTTTGATTTCACACTTCTCTCTCCAACTGCTTGATGTCAAAGGTCATCAAAACAGCCATGTCACTAGACTCCCCCGATGTGGCGGCCAGTTTCAGTTGTTGGAGACCGTTTCCACTGGAAACATCCCCCTCCCATACTCTGCTCTTGTTCAGTTTCAGATCAGTTTGCGTCTCACCCACCACACACACCCTCTGGGCCCCGGGGACCCTCACCCTAAAGCGGACCCATGAGAGGGGCTCCAGCAGGCCCACGCGAGGCTCAAAGAGCACGCAGCCTTTCCTCCAGGCTGAGTAGACACAGGGGAACGGAGGCCCCGGCTGATCGCAGCTGTTCCTCAGAACAAAGTCACACATGGGATTGAAATCTCCGCCAGGGGTTAGCCTAGCGTACAGGCCCAGCCGATACACCCCGGCATCAGGTAGGCTGACACTCACCGTCACCTTGCTGTCTGTGTACGTGCAGAAGAGGTGACGTGACAGTGGGATGGCAGCTGTTTTGTTCTCTTCTCTGCTGAGCACAGTGTGAAGCTCAAGGTCCCGCTGGTTGTGGAAGGTGATGTTACACTTGCCTTGCTGGGTACTCACCAGCGCTGTCGTGTGGCTGAATTTGGACAGCCCTGCCTCTGATGTGCGGGTCCCCGGCCCACACGCCGAGCCCAGATTAGGAGGGAAGAGCTCATCCAGACTGACCACCTTCCCTTTGCAGTGCAACAGGAAGTTTGCGGCATTCTGGAACTTGACGTCTGTTTTCTCATAGTCCCGCACAAACACTGATAGCCGGTAGAAGCCACGCAAGGGGCACAGGATGTGGCAGGTCAGGACATTAGGTTGAATCTGAGTAGCCAGGCACCGCTTGGCTACAGCAGCTTCCAGTTCTGAGTGGACTAGTTCACAGAGTAACATCAGCGGCCTGGACGTCTTCAATGCCAATTCAAAGACACCTTCTTCCACCTCGGCAACCTCACTGCCCTGGCTGCTGCCTGTGACGCCCAGGGTTCCTGCAACAGGCTGCAGGCCCCAAGACAAGAAGGGGTTCTCTGGGATCTCCTCCATGGCTCTGGGGGTTGGACACTCAACTGTGAAAGAGCAGACCCAAATCAGATGCGTGGTGGACGGTTCAGGTCTGGCAAACACCTTTATGTCATACACGCCGCTTGCAGGCGGCAGGAGCTGCAGCTTCATGCTCCGATGGGAGACGGTTAGGAGGCCACAGGAGGAGTTGCTGGACTCTTTCTGCCCTGAAGCTCCACTGTGGAGAAGGTCATGGTGCTGTGTGATCTCATAGGTAAAAGTTGCTGGCCTGGAGAAGCCGAGGGACACGTTTGCCTCACCATCATCTGGGGAGGAAAGTTTTTTAAGTCCATTTCTCTTTGGAAAGACAAAAATAAGATCGATAGAAGATGCTGGTTGGCAAAAACTCAAATGTGTTTCCTGAATTAACTGTAAAGAAGCAAATCTGAAAAATATTCAATTCAATTCAATTTTATTTGTATAGCACCAATTCATAACAGAAGTTATCTCAGGACACTTTTCAAATAGAGCAGGTCTAGACCGAACTCTTTAAAACATTATTTACAGAGACCCAACAGTACCACCATGAGCAAGACCTTGGCGACAAGGGCAAGGAAAAACTGCCTGTTAAAAGGCAGAAACCTAGGACATCCTTCGGCTCTAGGTGGGTGGTCGTCTGTCTCGACCAGTTGGGGTGAGATAGAGAGAGACAGACAGACAGACAGACAGGTGCACAAAAAATGTAAATAAAACATTAATTATTGGACCTGTGACGATGTAGCATTGATGAGGCTGAATCAGCCTGAGCCCCATGGTGAAGAAGGCTGAGGTCTTGAACACCCTCCTCTCAAACTCTTCCAGGGTGACGGGCATGTCCAGAAGCTGCCATTTCTCCTCATCGGGGAAGTGCGAATCTATGAACTCCTCCGGGTCCGTTAGGAAATAGAAATCATCGAACCTTGGAGGCAACAGATGGAGACAGCAGACTGGTTTGAGACTCTACACGCTGTTGGTTTCGGGTGTATGAAAATAAACAAAAGAGCAAACTCAAACTTGTCATGATTGCAGTGCTGTGGTACTTTTATGAAACTATTTGCAAGTAAAAACAAAAAGATGCACATCAGTCAGAATCGGCTCTCAATTTCTAGTTTCACAGAAATTTTTCCTTTTAAAACTACATCACCGCCACCGAATCGTGACCTCCTCTTCCCTTTTCAAACCTTTTGACGAAGCTTTCGTGTTCCATATCTACTCGTCCTGCTCCCCAACAGGCATCCAATAGGAACCACTGTCCTCCCAGAAGCACAGCGTTCCACAGGTGATCAGATTTCACATTCTTGAGGCTCTGACCCGGACGGTACCCAATGCCCTTACTGTGGCCTGGCACTTCTTGGCACTCAATGCCCACCTCTCTGAAAACACAAACCAATCAGAGCACACTTACTCTCTTTTTTTTTTATATCCCGTGTCCTTACACTCAAGTTCATGGTTGCTGTTTGTGCTGTAGGTCTTAAATTAAATCGATTCAGTGAACATTATTTATACCGAAAAAGTCTTGCTTAAACATAGAAGGGATCAAGGATGCAGAATACTGCACAGTACTTAATGACTGGATGGCAGAAGACACTCACATATGTACACTCACTATGTTTGAGTGTATACTGACATCTAGATGAATGAAAAACTGTACTGCAATATGGAATTGTTATGTTTTGCTCTGTAAGTTTTAATACATCTGTCTTACAGAAGGACTCTGTAAGGGAATGGAAGGACATTTTTGCAGGCAGTTTTAGTGAACCATGTGAACAAAAAAAGCTCCTCTGTTCAATATTTTTATCTTAACAATTTCTCCAAAGTGCAATATGAAAGGGGTCACTCATAGTGACAAATACATAGATGACGAACCTACATCTACAGAGCGTTTTAGCATCTTTTAGCTTGTTGTTTTAGTTTTATTGCCTGCAAAATCTGCCCAGCACCAAACAGCAGACAGATAAAGTAAGTAGCTAGTGAACAAAGTGGAGCATTTAGCAGCTTAGGAGCCAGATGTTTGTTGGACACCCAAACAGAGCTAAACAGAGTTTATATCACACAAGTTGATATCACACTAAAATTTGCTGCAGGCTGTAAATATACGTAATTTAGTTTAGTTTAGTTTAGTTTTAGTTAACATTTTTCATGATATGCACATAAGTTAAAGTACATAAGTTAAAAAGATAATTTATTTGCAGTAAGACGGATTTAACAGTCTTTACAGATCAACAACTGCCATTTTATATGGCTATAGTCTTACAAAAGATATTGAGGAAAAGCTATTTCCTGTAGTGTTTTATGTATCTAAAGATATCAGTTTTTTGGTGTTTACCTGCACATCTCTGTACAGAGGTTGGAGTAGCCACAGCACACACCCCGGCCAGCCGCTATCACCTCCTCTGGGGAGCTCAGCTTCTCTGAGTGGCCAAGGTACCCACTCACGTCATACTCTATGAAGACAACATTAGAGATAGATTACCTATCCTAGAATCCGTAATCTGATTTATTACAGAACGCTAGGATTTATATGCAAATATGTATAGTTCAGTAAGCTACCCACCGATGTTGTGGCACAGCCAGACCCAGATGGCACGAAGCCTCTCCAGCTCATTTCTGGCTCCCTGTGTGATGCTCTGTACTATCGTCTTCACATCATACACACACTTTTCCTTCAGCTACAACAAACACGCACAAAACATATTTATTGTTAGATCAAATAGGGTTTTTTATATTTAATTATATATATATAATTAATCTATAATTAATCTTATAAGTAATTTATTATTTAATATCCAAAGTCTTCACATTCAGCCAGCATTAAACAGTTTCCTTTTTTTTCATTCATCGGACGGCATCATCCTATTTTCCATCATCTTTCAGTGTCATTCGGTGTATTGAACAAACCAGGTTACCATCCATGCTCAAGGATGTGAGTGCTGCCTGAGAGCTGTGGTATTTATTATGGTTTTATTGCAGTAGATGAGTAGATGTTATTGTTCCTCAATGCTTTTTCCTGCAGAGCTCTGGAACACAAAGACCCATCTCTGCTGTAGCTTTGTTTTTGTTGTTCTTACTAAGCATTGGTTCTTATTTGGATTTCCTTGCCAGGCTAACCTTGCTGGTTATTTTAGCTTCTCTGTAATGAGATTTTTAATATGGATGAAGTAGAGGAGTGAGTGATTATAAAATGGTGCTTCTGTAGCATAACAGGTGAAGTATTGACATGTTAGTCATTATTGAGGTTAAAAATTCACCAAAAATGTACCAATAAGAAGTGAATGGATAGAACAGATATACACTTTGGCCGGAAACAATACACATGTTCTGTTATACTCGGATGTATTGTATAGGTGTTGTCACCTCTGCTCCTGCCCTGATGGCACGTGAATCAACCCTATGGAAGACCTCAGAGTTGGTGAAGAGGTCCTTTCGACACCTCCTCTTCCCTGCTGCCACAGCGCATGGTGACAGCCTCTGTCCCAGGTGTGCTTTTGGTTTCAGGTGCCTTTGTTCCTCAGCCTCTTTCCTCACTGCGCTCTTCTTCACTACGGTGATGGTCCTGGCTGCACTCTCAGACGACAGCTGTCTCTTCGCCGCAGGGCGTTGATCTTCACTTTCAACTGTCAGTTTCTCAAACATGCTCTGCTTGGAGAGCACAGCACTCTGGGAAGCATTGGCACAGACCAGGACCTCGGCAACTGCCATGTCTCCCCCTGGAGGAGGTTTAGGTCTCTCCGGGGCCTGATTCTCATCATGTACCAAAGCTCCTATTACTGCAACTGGTCTTGGTTTACTTAAGATTGGATTTTCCTGAAGGTCATGAAGCGCCAGGGCCTTCTCCTGTACGCATCCCTTCTGGGTCACCTCATCTTGCTGAGAAAGGCGTGTAGTACAGGAGAAGGGGAAGGAGAACTTCTGAGTTGCAACTTTAGCTGACATTATGCTGGAAGCATGGCGCCCTAACCAGAGAGAAAGAAGATTCAAACTACTATTCAAAAGACATTTTCTCTGAGCTATTTTTGGCTAATTTTCTTAATCCTGTGAGCAAGTAGGGTCTCTGTTCGTTGTTCAGTAGCTTAAAATGATACAAAGGATGCTGTGGGAACCACAAAAGATCCATAGCACTAGCTGCACTGAGTGAAGCAGAGGGTATATTATATACAGTATACTTTCTGTGTAAGACAGTGATGAATTGGCAATTATATCATGTCTATTCATGACCAGAAATTAACGCAAAGGTTGGAATCATTAGTCACTGTCACAGCTAACAGCGCAAAGAAAGTCGAAGCCTTTACCAGATTAGTATGACCACCTAACTTCCTATATGTGATGAACCTGCAGATTGATGGCCATATTAGGAATGTGTGCAACATGTGTGAACACATATTTTGACTGAAATTTAGTAATCTGCTGAAAGATCCATTGTTGTTTCGAACAGACAGCAGGTTGGCACAGTGGAGACACTGACCGTCCTTCAACCAGATGACCAGGGCTGAAGGGCTGCATTGGCAAGTATCTTACCAGCTCAAGTGTCCTTCAGAAGGCCACTAAGTCCTATCAGCTCTGTGGACACTATGCTACAGCTGACCCTGACCCCTGACCTTCCTGAAGTGCGAGTAAAGGAAAGGTCCCAAAGGATATTGTAAGGTATCACCTCTCATGCTGGAGTAAATCCAAGCCCAATGATGAATAAAATCATGATTTCTTTTTCAGAAAAATACAGCATTTTAGTATCACTGTTCCTTCAATGTTCATGATAACTCTTGAAAATGTCAGATTTATGTCAGAGTCATAAAAGTAAAGATGCGCAAACACAGTCTAGGTAGGTTTAACTGTCGCTACATCCCTAAAAGTCGCGGAGGCTTTTACTCACCCTGAGAGGATTTAAAATGTCTGCTGGATGTTTGCTGGAGTGTCGGGCAAAGATGTTTCCACTGTGTGTTCTCAGTGGTCCCTGGTTGCAGGGGGAGGCTTATATACTCTCCCAGTGGCCTGCCAGGACAGGCCCCAGAATAACAGGCCTAAAAATACTACAAAGCAGTTAAGACCAGCCAATAGAGTAAGCCCCAACTCAGGAGTGTGACGTCTGTGTGTGTGTATCTGTAAGTGTGTGTGGCTTACAGATGTATGTTGTGATGCGCTTTGTGTGTGCTCTGTACATGCATTTGCTAATCGGTGCATACACACCGCAGCATATCTGGGCACACGAGTGAGTGTGAATGTGTGTGTGTCAGGTTGTTTGTGTCGGCATGTGTCCATATGGACTGTGAATGTGAACGTTTGTACCTTGTTGATGGGCGGGTGGGAAGGTTGGCGCGTGAGCACGTGTTGGGTGCAACGAAGAGGTCGGATTCAACGAAGTGTTGGCTGTTCAAAGAAAAGGACAGAAGGGTTTATGAAGGGCCTGGCATATGATAACGGCCACATCAACATCAAACGCACCCTCAGTCACCCCCGTTTCTGTCACACACACACACACACACACACACACACACACACACAAGAGAGAGAAACACACAATTTAATCCATCTCAGTTGCATTTTGCCAGGCCGGATCTACGCTGATTACTGTTAGTAGATTAGAGATGCACAAAAGGAGATCTTGTGTCAAATCCCGTTTAATTGAACAGGCCAGTATCACATGCAATGTTTCAATATGTTTTACAGGCTTACAACCTCAGCTGTTCCTGACACAGCCCATATTCATTAAGAGGGCAGGGGAAACTCCTTAAAAAGATAAGAGAAAGACAGACTCAAAAAAACATTTAAGCATGTAATGAGTGCACTTTATGGGGCCACTTAGGAGCAGCGGAAACAAGCTGTTAACAGTGACATACTCTCACATTATAAAGTTGATATAGTGAACAAAATGAGCATTTAGTATTAATCTGGAGCCATGTTTTCTGATATTTACCATCCCTTTGGCTCACATTGACTGCTACTAGCATGACGCACTGGAATCTCCAACCGAACTGTTGGCACTCGAGTTGCATTGCGGATAATGTAGGCTCTGTGTTCTGACAAGGAAGAAGAATGTGTGGTTCTGATATATCAGTTTTGATACTTTGACATTTCTGCATAAAGGAGTGCAATAAATCGGTGTGGTACTCTTTTAAGCTACTAAATGCTCCACTATGTTCACCAGCTAGTCGCTGACATTGTCTGTCTGCCTGTAAGTGCTGGCACAGTTGGTTTATCAGCATTTCTATGCCTAAAAACAGCTGCCCGCTGCAGTCAAAAACATCACTATGAGACCAATGAGAGTGAATTTGTGGGCTGGAAAACACAACAGAGCTGAAAACAAGCTACAAAAATCAATGCAAAGTTGGGTGGTAATTCTCTGTGGGTTCACCAATACTCATGACCTCTTTCACAATACCCATTGTCATTATCGCCGTAATACTAGGTCAAGCTCAACCAATTCTGTGGTTTTCTGACCTTCACCTTCAACTCAAAACTGTAACTGTAATCTCCAGCGCTACTCTTTATGTGCATACATAAATCCTGCAGTTAGAAAAGCAGTCCCAGAACCCAGCTTCTGTCAAATTGAACCACTACAAAATTGAAGAGAAAGAAGGGAATCTTGTTGGGCGATCACCATCACTTATCACTCCACAGATACAGTATTACATAACACTGCCATATGTTGGTGTTGATGTTTGACGCGTGGGCACGGCGTAGGGACAGCCACCTCCGCCGGTGGTGGATCCTGAGCCAGCTAACTGTAAAACCGTGGAGTAATAATGCCATCTGGAACAGCTGTCAGCCAAGGAATCTCGCTCTGGCTTATTAGGGAGAGCAGAGGAGCAGGGGGGGGATTCTCTCCAACTCAAAGAGAGGTGAAACACACAGAGGGGGCGATGTGAAGCCTTGATATGGCAGAGAAATGAAAAGGAAATCACTGCAGGCTGAAAAAAGGGGTATGTTAATCTGCTTCCAGGCACTAGTGAATTTCTTATTGTGAGGAAATATAGATTTCATTCCCTTTTGGGTTCATGAGTTTTAGATGTCCTCGGTCCTACTGGGTTCATTGGATGTGTGAATTTTGTTGTTGCTTAATCTTCCCACTGGTTTATCCCAAAATTCAGAAACCACATACACTATTTAACCATCAGATGGATTTTCTTGTCGAGGGTTTCTTAAAGCAACATTTTGCACATGACCAATTATGTCACTGATTTTGATGAAACTGGCTCATGTTTTATGACGAAAAGGTTTCCTGGTTTTCCCTCCGATGTCTTTCCAGCCCCTCCGCCTCAATGACGGAGTTTCCTGATGGACAGATAGCTTTACCTTTATCTAAAGTAAGCAACCCAGTGCAACTCAGTACAGCCAGGACTGGGAACTTGGAGCATTAGGTGCAAGTACGGGAGCTTTGGACCAACGGAAGGAGGTTTTCAGGCCCGAGGTGGGTGGTAATCCTAGTGGGGAGCGGCGCCGGTGTTAGTACTTAACTGGATCTGGTATAATGGGCAGCGGAACCGCACTCAGAAGCCTCTACGAGAGAGAAGACTATCTTGACTTTATGCACGTCCGAAACTTTCCTCATGGAATCAAAAATTACAATACCCTCCTGCAAATTTAAATCCCTTATGTAATATATTTAATTTAACTGAAACTGTCCTCTTACTAGATTTTTCTAGAGCTTAAACCGCATCTTAACTTTGGCGGCCCTCCTCAGCAGAGACAGGTGCATATATATATTTGATGCATATATGCCACCATCTGTTGTCACATGACTGAATGTTCTATACTTAGGTCACATGATGACAACTGAACTCTCTCCATGTCTCCAACACAAACTTTGAGTTAAGAGAGTTAAGAAGATTTTTTCCAAGGTCTATAATAAACTTTCACACTGAACATTTAGATTCAAGCCCAATTTGAATCGTAACCGTACATTCAGAGGCCAGTAAAATAAAAGTACAGTGGAGGAAATCAATCAAAGGTGTGGGAAAATATGATCATTTTAGACTTGAAAGTGGCTTAAGTTGGGGTGATTCATCAGGTGATCTTAGTTGTGTGAACCGTGTTTGCTTATGACTGGAGGCACTAAACCTGTTTCCCTGAGATCTAAGGGACCAACTGGGTTTATATTCTTCAAACATACCAGAAACATATTTTGGCCTTTGGCTGTAATGTGATTTCTAAACTAGCAGAAGCACTGATCTGAAATCTATTCTATATCTAACTTGGAGCTAGTGTAATGTGTTCAGTTGTTCTCGTTACTGTAGCTCCTGCAGTCAAAATGTGTTGCAGTTGTCTTTTTTGAGAAGATCAAGAACAAGAGCTCATTGCACCCTGCTGGAGATGAAGGCATGAATCAGTTTCTCACGTGGCCATGAGACCTCTGATTCTTGCTATTTTTAAATGATAAAAAGCTGATTTAGTCTTTACTGTGGCAGTGCTGTGTGTTGATGCGGCCACCGGAGCTACAATCCGTACAGTCCATTTAAACAAAAAAGATGCCGAACTTGGACTTGAGTCTTTAAAGCAAAGGGAAGGAAAAAAACGAGAATGTTGCAGACTGCAGTGCGACTGTGATCAAAGGTTTGATTCCCACTGCAGAAAGAAATAAAAGCTTTATAAGATCTCTGGGATACAATGTTCGTACAAGTGTTTTGAAGGTGTGCTGTAAAAGCATATCTACCTGAGGGTTCTTGGCATGAAATAATTTTAAAAAAACCCTTGTGAGTATCCAAACTTACCTGCCAAGAACTCCCAGAACGCAATGATAGCAGTTCTCCCCCCTTTTAACAGCTGGCGAATGCAGCTTACAAAAAGGAGACGCTTCAGTAGGCTACTTACAGTATGCACCTCATACAAACACATTAAATATTGTAATTTTGTAAATGACTGTGGTATATGTCAAATAGAAGATCATAAAAGGACTTTCCCAACAACTTAGTTGACTTTGCCAAAGATTTCCAGCATTATAGCTGCAGACGGGGGCTAGTTGCTCACACAGTGGATAACTGTGGAAAAGGGGGTTAAACGTGGGACCATGTACTGTGTATAAAGTGTCCCACATTGCTCCTGGTGCCATCGATGTGGTAATGGGATTAGATTAGTCTCTGATGAGCAGTTGGTTGTGAATGGGTGAATGTGACATGTAGTGTAAAATGCTTCGAGAGGTTGTAAGACTGGAAAGGCATGATAAGTGCAGTTCATTTATTTACCTAATTACTTTTACTAGAGGATTTTAGCTGAATTTATGGCTGGCTTTTAGGAATTGTTGCTTTAAAATGAACACAAAAGATGAATCTGTAAAGGTTTGACCGTATAAATTACAAGTAGTATAGCCATAATTAAACATTGTAGATGAAAATCTGCATTACAAGTTGTTTTTCGGAGTGGTTAAAGGCAGTTTGGGGTCAGGATCCTCACAAGGGGTCACATGACAAATCAAATGGGTGAGGAGATGATAAACAGAAAAGGAAAGCACATTATATTACACCAAATTAACTGTTTTTGTTTTTTTCTTGTGAGATTCTGAACATTAATTGGATGTAAATAATCCTTGGAATAATCTTGGAATATGTTTTGGATATGAGGTCATGCCGCTATATTTTCCTTATGTATTTCTTATGTTGTGATTACCATTTTCTGTTACTGGAGATCCAAATAAACAGTTCAAATAGAAAGAATTTGGAATAAAAAATGTAAAAAGAAAGACAGGATTGGCATGTATTTCTTTGTCCCATGTCACAAGACATTTATTTTCATTCATCATTTTCATTAATTCATTCATTAATTTACATACTTACATTCAAACTAGATTTAGTTATTTTATATTATTGTTGTTTTAATCCCGGATTGTACCTTTACCTATATGCAGTGTTGTGCTAGTTTCTCCAAAAATGTAATAAATTACCCATTACTCTTTTAAGAAGTGATATAATTCCTTTACTTATTACTCCCTGCCAACAATAAT